AAATTTAACTGCAAAATTTCTACCGTAATAACGATGCTCTAAGTTTCCTGCTGTTGACTTTTCTGGTGGTGGGAGCCTGGTCTTTGTCAAGGGATTCGGATATTTCCGCTGACGCGGTGAACTCGAGGCCGCTGAGCCCTCTCGAGAACGGCCTTGGAAAAAAACTCAAGTCCTAGCACCCCTGACAGCGAGCTGCAACACGAATAGCTTTCCGAGACAATATTTATAAGCGAGTGACTTGATGGACTTCGCCTTGATTTCATACTACAATAAACTTGCTGCAGTCGGCCCGTCCATCAGGATTCAAACCGATTCAAGCGCTGGATGATCATATTTCCACATAGGACGGCATCATTATGCGTTCATACGGAGACTTCGCTACACGCTGACACCAATCCTTCAAATATATATGACTGCCTTGTCAAAGGACCCGAAGTCATAGCCGCTAAACCAAAATTATCGTGATGGTAACTATTATGCAGGTTCGGGAAGCTAGCCGGATGGATATTTGTTACTCTATTTTTGGCTGGTTTCGCAGTTGCATCCTCTGTTACGGACCTACGGTGATACGATTAGGGTGAGCAAGGTAGTCACAGTGCTTACTGCGGAAATTATTGAAGTTTCTGTGCTATTCTCCAGCACCGACATTCAGATGAGGTGGGTTGATGCGAACGTATTACTGAACTAAAGAGTCGAATGCGGAGACGCTTAACCTTGCTACACAGCTAGCTTTTTACAAGTTCATGTATCATTCAAGATCGTCCAGCATTTTCCAAGACTCGTTAGCTGTCTACTCATTTTGTAGATGAGTCTTACCAACTGAATTTGACAAACCTTTCATAGCTTTCATCACTATTAGTTACTAATAGAGACCTTCTCACCGAGAGCTTAGAGCTACTACGAAGAATGGTCATCGCTGTGACCAATGATATATTATATCACGTCACGCTGGTGCTTGTTATCGTTCTCCGACAACGATTTTACAGCATTTCCCTCAGGCTGATAAGTCGGACCGGCTGCAAATGCAAGAAGCTCTCGAGAACGGCATTGACAACAAGTTGCTGACGAAACTGTTAAAAGGTTTCCAAATTGAAACGCGGTGTTGTATATCACGCCCACAGCTGAAACGTCAATCGGGCTAAGCTTCGCGATCTATAGCCACAATCCGGCATGATGAGACATCATCGTGTTTCATGATTACTATTAGTACTCGTGAATGCTCACTACCCAGGTATTCAAGTTCGCCACTCACTGACCCCACTCCTTCAATATGACCATAGTCTCAAATGATCCCAACTGGTGGCCGACTATCCAATTTTATCGCGTTGAAAGCTATTATACAGGTTCGTGAAGCAAGCTGGTTGATGTTGGTTCTATCATTCAGTTCTAGTAATTGGTCCCGTAGTTGCGTCCACTGTTGCGGTGATATACGATTGGGGTGAGCAAGACACGGCCGGGTTACTGGTTACTGAGGAAGTTCCTGATGTTTCTATGTTACTCCCAAGCACTCACATTCGAACAAGAGGTAGGTGATTTCATTGCTAGAACGGCGGTCTCACTACTAATGGTTTTATAGTTTGAACTGGTCTGGGTGAGCAGTTTACGTTAGAAGGACAACCGGATGATTTACAGTATAAATTCGAGATAGAAGCGACGCTGGTCCCTCATGAGTGTCTTATATCTCGGTGTACGTACCTTACCAAGTTACAATTGGCAAGTGCGTTTACCTTAAGATATTCTAGCTGCGCTACGGCGGAATATTATACTCTGTGTATGTTTGCATGGCCAACATGTTGGCACTGCCCTGATAAGCCATCTCTTGTAACCAGCATCAATGTGCCGGGTGTGTCTCATCCACTCTTCGTTCTTCTCACATGTACTAAACTGTGGCATGTAGCAAGTATTCCGACACTTTCCGTGACAGATGCTGTGAGTAATCCGAGCAATGCGTGCCATTACCGTCCAACTCACTATTCACCCACGTAGGGGTGAGCGATATTCTCGACATTGTTAATTAAATGTAACATCTGAACAGCTGTGAGATTGGACTTAGTCCCCTACAATGCTCAATACTGATTGTGTTTGTCAGGCACTGTTTTTGATTTCGAACAATGGTGGATGTTTACCATCGCAAATATCATCCTAGGCGGTGAGCTACTTACTTCAGTGCATCACTAGTGTCATTAGCTTGGCTGAAACATTATGCAAGTGATCATGATTACTCGGTTGCATGCCATGTATCAACGATCGAGAAAGATGCTCATCTTTCTCGTTGTATTCTTCCTTACCGTGACGATTACCAGCGGAGTAATCACGGTAATACAAAGCTCGCATCTTACAGGAGGTAAGCTTTGGTGATGCACGAAGGACTTCAGAGAGTCAGGCTCACAAGACAAATAACAGAGGAACTCGTCCTCTCCGGTACCTATCAGTGCGATTATGGAGGAAACAGCATACTTCTATCAGCCACCACTTGGATACTCGGCACTGTATGGGAAGCCCTCGCATTGTATCTTGCAGTCCGGATCGCTATAAAGCATTTCCGTGAACGACTATCAACAGGATCGATCATTGAGGACTGTTTCACGGTATTAATAAAAACTCATGTATTTTACTTTGCAAGGTGAGCTCGTGATTTTTCGGAGTGATATATCTTTTTAACGCTGAAGTTCCACGCGTTCTAGCTTTGCTGCCGTTGCTTCCTTCCGCATTAGCTTCCTCTCTCCAGACCTCCCGGTACGCTCATCCATGACTGACTTACATGTGTCTGACTGCTCAATTGTGCAGAACGGAAGTTCCGAGGCAGATGAGCTTTATTACGGTGTTTCGCTAATCTCCGCGCTCTTGCAGATGTTTTTGCTGGGACCCCCGCCTCGTCCTTAGCGTTCGAGAACACAGCACTAAGCTCGTGGCTGACTCTGACGAAGCAACAGGCATGACTTCAATTGCTTTCCAGGAGCGCGCACCCGTGTCGACTGGTGGCGGTGTGTAATGAGGGAAATGCTCCATGACATTCAAGTTGACATCTTGGCGTCGGTGTATTGCAGGGAGGTTGAGAATACTGTTTGGATTTCGGAGTTTCGTCATTGTACTGATGATATGCGTTCTCAATTATGTTTGAAAAATAGCCTTACCATACTATGTTTGAGAAACCCAATAGGTATAGTAATTTAAACTGGCCAGGCGCCCATCCCTGAGTGGTGAAGCAGCAGTGTCATCTTATCTTCAGTACACGCTCGGTAGGACTAGTACTTGGGAAATTTCTGCCTGTTTGTTTTCGAACTTTGACACTAGCTACACCAACTCGAGCAGTCTGTACAACGCGAAGCAAATGATGCTTTTATTCGTGTTTGTATTCGATGTACAGTATAAGATGTGGCATTCATTGAAAGAACGTTCACACGAGAGGAGAGTTGACTTGGGTGAGACTTAGGAATCGAACAGGGTAAACTGGCCGAACTAAGCGACACTGTATTAGGCCGAAAGGGGTCAACTACTCTATCAATATATCAACGCACTTAAAGTTTATATCCTGTAGAGTAAAGTAAGGAATGTGATGGAATAAGAGAGAGAGAAAAAGAATGGGATAGAGCTAAGTGCGTGCCAACAGCTGCCAACGAGAATATTGGTATTGGTAACCAATATTGGACGATGGCTTTTAGCGAGCGTTACAGATGTTCTAGAGCAAAACGAACATAACAGCGTACATCGTAATGAATATCGACTGTGAATGAAGACTGAGACGGAAGTGAGCTTTCGGAGAATCTTTCTCTAGAATCCAAACAAGAGCAATTGCGAGGCAGGAACTCCCTACAATGAATAGATTGTGGAGGAAGGCCATCATAACAACTGCTTGAACGGCAGTCAAGACTATTCGGGTAAGGGGACACCCCAGAAGGATAGGTATGGTCGGGATTCCAGTCTTCTTGTCCTCGTCATAGTCACGCAAATCAGCCATAATCTTTGGAAGACCTTAAGTTGGGAGTTCATTCATATGAAGAAAATTGTCTTACACAATGACAAATGCGATTGACCATCGACCAAATCATAGTCTCAATGATCGTCCATGGAGGCGCATTATGGGCTGATTGCCATGATACCTGCAGTGCTGAGTGGACGACGAGGAATGGCCCACAACTATCTTCAAGTCAAAATAACAAACCATCAGAATGCGACAGCACATACCTCCGAATGATACCATCCAATATAGCCTTTACGCCAGGAACTCGTTTGATGATGAATGGTTTCTTGGATCTGGTTGAATCATATTCTACTTCTTGATCATGATTTGCCCGTATGAATCTCTTCAATACCCTGTCGATCCACTGAAGATCAAGCGGCGTCACCCACAGAAAAGCGGGAGCAGTAAAAAATGCGGTGGTGAATGTCACTTCTGATGGACTTCGACATAAAGCCATCACAAGCAGCGACGCATTTAACGCCAGAAGAATACGGGAAAGATGGAACAGGGGGGTAAACCGCTTCACGGCAGCCGCACCCAGGGCACCAATGTCAACTTCTTGATCCTTCAGGTGGTCGACACTGACAGTAAGAAAGTCACATGTGAAGCATACAGTGATCTGTTACGCTATGTAATCAGAAAGATTGTAAGGCCTGGAATCAACAAACAGAGGGCTTACCGGCCTCCAGTCAATCTGTCCAGCGATTTCATAGGACAGGAAGGCAGAGAGCACAGCAGTGCTCATCGCCACGATGATGGGCTGCAGGATCACATAGCCAACGAAGGTTGAAACTGTTGGCGTAGCCATCTCGTTGAAGGTAGGTTCTCCAAGTCTGCAAGCCCGCTAAGAGGGTGTACAATGGAGTCGTAGCCTTGTAGGTGACCTTTTATCATTCCTAAGAGCTTCGGGCTCCAGAATAGGATAAATGTACAACGTACCCCACTTACAGTAGAGGTCAAGACCTCATCACACCGATCTTCACCTCTGGAGTCTGCTGTAACTGAGCTAATGCTCGTACCTTGCCGAGCAATTTCGGAGTGGTACAGTGTGTGAAAGCATCGTTCGATTGCCTAAAATGACTCATCAGCTTGTCGACACAAGAAGGTTTGGAATTATAGTTGAATCTGAAGAACGTTTCTAAATCCAACGGAAGAGCTCGAGGCATTGCAGTCCCTTGACGAGCGCTGGTGAAAAATTCTTGAGGGGACTTTCGGATTGGACAGTTCAAGTTGTCCGTTGTACGTTGATGTGGCATAAGGAGGCACCACAGTCCGCGAGCACTAGTGAAAATTTCTTTCGGATTGGTTACTGTCATTCACGGTAAATTTGCAGGGTAAATTTGCCTGGTGCAAATTCCCGGAACCCTAATGTCGAAACATAAGGAGGCACCGCTAGCCAAGGTTCAGATAATCGGCTCATCACAAAGCGTCCAAATCAGCGCATATAGAAACAAGGTAAGTATACAAGGGATGCGTGAAGTGCAAGAGCGGTAGTCTTGAACGGCCCGGACGACACACTGGCAAGTACAGCCGATATCGCTGTGTGAGTGTTTAATTCATACAAGTTAGATTTCGATGTCGGCGGTCTGACGTAGTTATTCATTTCGAAGTGCACTTCTGTTTTGAACACCGCGGCCCGGTGTCCGTGCGATCTTTGAAGTAGTGCGGGGTTGTAATCAAGTACGAAACCACAAGTCCTCTAGCAAGTTTACATAAGGCTTCTAGCAACTTTCAATGCGAGATGACTGATGTGATCAGCCTGCTCACATTTCCAGACACATCCAAGGCATTCACGGCCTACCGGTCTACAGTAGTCGACGTTGACGATCGGTCAGCATCTCATCCACGCAAAACTCCACGCTTGGACGCCGACTCTGACTCTGGTTCTGCGTCCAGGTCGCGCGATAGTGCCAAAGGCAAGAACGTCGACAGAGGTGGCCCAGTAAGTATTCAGGTGCACGGTTTTGCAGGTTCGCATTTCATTTTGTTCTCGGGGTGTGGCGCTCACGCGAGGATAATGGTCATTGTAGGCGGTGTGGTCGGATCTGCGTTGAACAAAGCTTATGATAACTTGTCTGCGCGGCTATCGCGCAGCATCAGGGCACTCTTGGAGAAGGGATCTGATCAACTGAGTTCAACGTATGAGGGTGTCTACACTGCATGTCGTGGCGTCGTGTGTGTTGCTGGGAGGGGCGAGGGCCTGTATGAGATGTTGAAAGTCGAGATCCATAAATGCGTCAATCGGCTGGCAGAAGAGCTCGAGAAAACCAATAAGGAGGGTGTAGAGTGGATTGGACAGTTTGTCGAGACGTGTGCATGGTTTGAAGGACAAGTAGTGAGTGACATACAGCGAGTTTGGGGATTCGTTAGGTTATTGATTCATGGATTCACGTCAAGGCACTCCTGGAATCGCTTCTTACCTACCTAGATCGTGCTTATGTGCTCAAGAATCCTAGTCTTCCTTCTATTCAGTAAGTTTTCCTCCACGGGAGTTATTTAAATATGCTGACGCTCAGAACTTCAGCGACCTCGCATTCACTCGCTTCAGAGAGCGCATATTTAGCGGTTATTTCATCGTGGACAAGCTTCAGAAAGGAATCTCCACATGGGTTACATGGGAAAGGAACGAGGGGTATGTTCTTTGATGCTCATCCCATCTGTCCGTGCCTGCACAAGACACTCACTCATCAACCAGGCAAGTACATATCCACCGCCCCTTCCTCAAAGAGCTCGTCTCCCACCTTGTCACACACTACGTATACGACGCCATCTTTGAGCGACACTTCGTCGAGCAGACTCGGGAGTACTTCTCAAAAGAGTCGTATCAGATGGTCGAGGTCGAGAAAGCTAAGGCGAAGGTGTTCCTCGCGCACTGCAACCAGCGGACGAATGAGGAGCAGGGTAGAGCGAGGGATGTGATGTCTGATGGTACGATCGCGCTTGTAAAGGATGCCGCCATTCGGGCGCTGTTCGAGAAGAGGCTGGAGTGGATGGCTAAAGAAGGTTAGTGTGACTGAGTTCATGGAGTCGTCGTGTTGAAATCATTATGCAGTGTTCACGGAATGTAAGGGTACGACTGATCTCAAGAAAGCGTATGCGCTGTTTGCATCAGTAGACGGCCTGCCCGTGCTTTGCCGGGAGTTCAAGGCTTATGTCCAGGCAGGTGTCTTGTCATCTCTTTTCCCGAGCTCACGCTGATATATTCATGCTCTAGAGAACAGTTCAAGATATCGTGAAAGATGCATCCAAGGATGACGAGATGGTCAACCGTCTCCTCGAATTCAAGTCCTTCGCGGACTCAACACTCAAGGAAGCATTCGTCGATTCCTCCACTAAGCAAAACAACCAAGACTTTGCCTACGGGCTCATCGATGCGTTCACCAAGGGGTTCAAGGCGCGGCGCAATAAGCCTGCTGAGCAGATTGCAAAGCATGTCGATAGACTCATGCGCCATGGACAGCGGGGCGTGTCGGATGCTGCGTTTGAGGCATTGCTGGATGCCGCCCTTGCGCTTTATAGGTTTACAGATGATAAGGATGTGTTTAGAACATTTTATCATCGGGCGTTAGCGAAGAGATTGTTGCTGGAACGCAGTGCCTCTGACGATTTTGAGAAGGCCATGCTCAAGAAACTCAAAGAGAGTACGTGATAGAGTGCCTTTTGTTTTTGATGTCGCGTGCTGATCGTTATTGGGCAGAATATGATCCAGAGTTTGGGATGGGAGATCATATGTTCAACGACCTTGCGCTGTCGCGAGATATCATGCGGGAGTACCACACTCGTATCGGGCATGATAGCTCTGCGCATAAGCTCTCTGTTATGGTTTTGCAACGCAGCTTCTGGCCGTTCCCTAAGCGAACGAAAGGCGTGGACTTGCCTTCTTCGGTGAGCGATGCAGTTTCCGGTGTTCCGGTGTGCTTACATATGACAATGACATAGATGCAAGCAGATCTGGACAATTACGCGACTTTTTACAAGCAAAAACATCAGGGGCATAAACTCGATTGGGATCATTCACTTGGGACAGCTACGGTAAAGGCGAGGTTTGTGGCTGGTCCTAAAGACCTTACGGTCAGCTTATATCAAGCTATCGTGCTACTTCTCTTCAACGAGGAGACAGAGATCGCGTACAAACACATCTTAGAGGAGACGCGTATGGGCAAGTATCAGTCGTTGTTCGCGACTGTTATAAGATACTGACGTGGGTCTCAAAATAGACGACGGGGAGCTAAGGAGGACATTGCAGAGTCTGGCGTGCGCGAACAAGAAGGTGTTGAAGAAGCGTCCAGTAGGGAAGGACGTGAACGATAACGACGTCTTTTACTTTAATCTGGAATTCACCGATCCGCGGGCAAAGGTGCACATCAACTCTATTCAGGCGAAGGAGACGGTAGGTTTCTCTTCTTCTGGTGAAGCGCATCTACACATCTGATTCGGTTGGTTGTCCTGCTTAGGCTGAGGAAAGTCAACGGACTCAATCGCACATCGAGGGAGACCGCAAGCACTATCTGGATGCAGCGATTGTGCGGATTATGAAAGCGAAGAAGGAGCTTTCGCATGAGCAGTTGAAGAATGAGACGATTGATGCTGTGAAGAGTCACTTTGTGCCGGAGGTGAGCGTTATTAAGCAGCGGATTGACGGACTCGTCGAGCAGGAGTATTTGAGACGGGATGAAGAAGATCGCAATTTGTACATTTACGTAGCGTAGGAACGCATGATGTGTATTGACGACGTGATATAGTTGCATCATTTGTTGATCACCGTGGCTCATGTCTGTCTATTGAGGGTCATTTAACATCTGCGTATGCCTGAGGGGTCACGAGGAAAGGCACTTTCCTTTGTTGACAGCGTCTTTTTGGATGACGATGAGAGGGAACTATTGACCGAACAGTGTTCAACATCTGTCTGGGCTCTGTCGTATCATGCAAATGGTCCGCTGAGACGGGTCTAAATCAGCGAACGGGTTCAACCGGACCATCTGCGTTGTCCAACATAGTCCTCAGAAATTCGGATATTTTTCGATGGAGGTTTTCTAAGCATCGGTAAGCTGTTTGCAGACTAGCGAAAAAATGATGGCTTACTGGCACGGTCAACCGCTTGGATATATTCTTCATTTGCGTCTTGCATTTGTTGTTCCAGTGCTTGAAGTCGATTTGCCTGTTCCATAGTTACATTTCAGCTGTATCAAAACTGACGCGCGCCTGACCTGCTGTTGTTCTGGTTCAGGGACGGGTAATGACTGGATGAGATATTCGATTTGTTTTGCCTTTACGATAAGATCCTGAACAAGCTCGTTCTTGTTTGCTAAAACTTCGTTTAATTGCCACGGCTGCGCGCATGCATGGTCACGCACCTTCGAATAATTCTGGGGGATCGTACTTGTCCGTATTGCGAATCTTTGTTATGGGTATCTCCTCGCTGACTTGTAGGAACGTAGACCTGGCGGTGAGGTAGGCGATGGTGCTTGACATGATTGTCAGGAGCTGAAACGAGCTGCTTAAACATTTAAATTGGTTTAAGAGGGAACAGAACCCACGCGTTGGATCTCATCTTGAAGTTGGGTGATACGGTCCATGTGCGAGAGTTCCTGCAGCATGGCGCTGCCGGAGGGGCAGGGAGCTTGTGTGGCGAATCGGAATGTCCTTTGTCCTTGGTTGTACGTTTGACAGTTTGGATCGTGACGCTTACTCATCATACTCACACTTAAGCTTGATTTGCTACGACCATCATGGGGAATGATGGAGGCAGCATTCCGGACAGACGCGACCTCGTAAAGAGCAAAAAGAAGGCAGAACAAGCAGACAAGGCAAATCAGACTCGTGCTGTATGGTTTTTCTGTGCTCTTTCAAAGGTGAGCATCTTTTGTTTCGGCGGTTGAATGCTTCTGATGGACTTTCTAGCGTCCCTTGCAAGAACCTATCGTGTCTTGTGCTCTTGGGAAACTGTATAACAAGGATGCTATAATTGAGCATCTGCTTGATAAGACTGCCTATGGAGATGCGGCGAAAATATGCGGACACATACGTTCATTGAAGGTGCGTGACAGCTCTGGTATCACCACTAACATTTAACTGACCCATATTTCAACAGGACATTAAACTCCTTAAACTAACCCCAAGATCTCCACCTCCTCCGCCTAATTCATCTGCCGATGTCGCCAAGTTCGTGTGCCCGCTCACGTTCAAGGAAATGAACGGCGGACAGCCCTTCGTTTACATCTTGACTTGTGGATGCGTTTTCTCTCAGTCTGGTCTGCGTACCGTCCTTGGTTCATCGCCTTCGAACGGGAACACCGCGGCTGCAGAAAGTTCAGCTGCCGAGGATGAACAGCTAGAAGTCTGTCCACAATGCGGGACCAAATTCTCTAGGTCGTCTAACATTTTCATGATCAACCCACCCTTGGAAGAGGAGGAACGTATGTACGCTGCGATGGAACTTCGTCGTTCACTAGAGCCTGTGAAGAAGTCAAAGAAGCGTAAGGCCGGTGTGGATGTTGTGGCTGACGAGGTCGCTACCAAGAAGAACAAAGCATCCCCGGAGGGTCACTCGCCTTCTCCAGCGCCGGGTTTGAACCCGAAGATATCTGCAGCATCGCGATCTCTTGCTCAGAGTCTTGCTGTGGAAGAGGCGAAGAGGAAGGCTGGTATGAGCGATGCGGTCAAGTCGTTATACCGCAGCAAGAACGATGCTCCTAGGAAGGAAACATTTATGACTATGGGTACTTTTACAAGAGTGAGTCTTTCCTTTGCTCGTCGCATTGGTTCGCGACACTAACTTGGGTTCTGTGCAGTATGCGTAAATACCGACTTTTATCGGGTGTAGCTCACAGATGCAGTGTGTGTATGATACTGTATTAATTTATAAATTTTGTATGATCCTTAGATGTATAGGTTCTGGCCACTAACTTTTTCAGCTTTAGCAAGGATCAGATCCTTCCAGGTGCGATGAATCAGTGAGTCTCGTAATTTGGAAAACAGATACGACAAACAAATAGTTTGGCTCTTCAGGATGGCGTCCTGCTATCTCAAGAACTCATTCGACTCTGCCGATTGTTTTCAGACCCCTTCCCCCAACGGGCGCATTTTCCCCTCCGACGTGCAGTCAATCGCCTCAGAATTGACTTCCACAGCCTCGGCATTTATATACTATGATACAAGAGGGTTGGCGCCGCCATTGAGGTTCTGTACCATCCCGCAGAATGCCAGTTCATTATCTACAAACTACAATTGGTCGTTGTTCATCCGTTCCAAAATGTCCATCACCGCAACCCGCTCAAACAACGTTGAGTTCCTTGTGCCTAGTGCTTGTACGATGAATTTGTCCCTCGATGTCGGCGACATACGAAACAGTTGATGAAAATGCTCGTCCGTGCAGAAGCCAGCTTGGACGAGGGCTGGATGAAAACGAAGAAGGCTTGGTGTTGCTGAATCTAAGTGGGTGGACAGGAGAGCTACACGTGACGAGGCGTTCGCCCGAGTACGCCTGCCGCCTAGGCGGAGTTGTGGAGAGACGCGAGAACGACTAGTAAACTGGCTTCGACGATAGCGACGCTGTAAGATATGTTGGACAATAAAATTTGTAGTGGAATAGGAAATCCAAACCGGTGCACTCCAACCCAGTTTCTGCTGCTTGTCATACATTAGCACAATCTGTTAACAATCCTCAGAAGATGGTTAAAATCACCTGTTTTTCCATCAATTCACGACGTCGGAAATACACGTTACGAACCAGTACATCAACGGCCCAGCCGTCTTCGTACTGTGTCAGGAACGATAATTCTGCGTCCAATAGAACCTGCAATCCAGATCTCAGACTCGAACATGCCGGCGCTCTGTCAAAATACAATAGAATATATCTCACTTCGCGTTTTAAAAAATCCAAGCGAGATTGAGGCAGATCCCCGTACAGTCTGGATAAGTCCAAATGTCGAATGATCAAGTCTCGAATTCTTCTCTTAATAGGGGAAATAAGCCGGGCCTCCAACACGACACGAATTTCAACAGGAACTCGCCTTGGCATGCCTGAGGGTATATCGGTTGATACGTAACGCTGAGTCGAAACAACGCACAGGAGTTCGAGATTGAAAAAGTTTTCTGAAGGTTGCCTGCGGAGGGCGCTTGATAACGAAGAAGTCTATGTATGGCGATGCTACTCAGTCATCGTTATCGTGATGATAAGTTAATTGTTGATTCGAATAACAACGATGCACAAAACCCACATATTCTGGAGTTGCCTGTGCTCTGCGTAGACCAGGTGGAGGAAGACATTCTTCAGTAGGTCTGTCTGCAGCATCTGCTCAACGATTGTCAATTTATCATGATGGTCTTTGATGATCCGGCTCGTGTGGAGTCTTCATTCACCATAACATTTGACGCATCTCAGCGGCATGTGCCCCCGTCCTCTCGGTTTCTTCTCCTATTAAGGCTGTCACCGATGAGTAAAATGGGATATAAAATACCTAAATGTATACGACTTGCCTCGATCCCCGTTCTTGCGGCCGCCGATGTTTAATGTCCGATATGAGAGACCTAGTTGTTATGTCAGATTTTGCCTATCTTTGAGGAATCGAGCGCGATAACTCGAACGCGAGTTGAGAACCTTCGATTTTTACTGCTGCCGGACTTCAAAGTGTCTCTGATACCTCTGATAACTCCTTCAGTCACACCGCATATCCCCTTCCATCCACCCTCGTGTCAGTGATCAATTAATCACCCAATGGCAAGTACTAGTACTGGTAGAGTGAGGCAGGTGCGAGTCGGAGTGAGTCACCAGTGAGGCACGTGAATCTCAATCGATCAAATGCAACACAGACGAATTTTTCTAATCGGGAGGAAATGTTCTTTCCTATAAACCGTGACAACTTGGATTATTCTTTCTTAATCTGCGTGAGTCTAGTAGTGCAATCAGCGGGATTGCAGCCTGTGACTACAGCCACATTGTGAGTCACTGCAATCATACTTGCATCACTGCCTACCAGGTTCGGGGAATTGGGGCAAATGTTTTCGTAGCTACTGAGCCTTACAATCACCGTATACAGGGTCATTGAAAACTGGGTTGTCTAGTGTCGTTGGGACATGAATGTATACAAATATGTACAATGTGTAGGCTTGGGATCCATCTCCAAGGTCCCTCCTCTTCACTCACGACAACCAACTTGCTAAGGTTCGGGGAATTCTGTCTACAAAGGGTTGTATAACGTGTCACGTACGATATGCAGGATTGCAAACACCGCTTGGTTCATTTCCGACGTTTTGATGGGCTATTAGAGGTGTCCGATTCGAGTGCGCTGTTGCTATTGACCAGAAACTCATCCGAAGTTCGTTTTCTGGATGTGTCAACATGGAGTACAGCGATGTTGGACCTCGGAGAGGGGAAAGAGTTGGGACCGATGGCTGACAACCGTTCATTATATTAGGCTGTGCGTCGAAGGTTCAAACTGAGGATGAGAGTGAATTAAAAGAGGCTTCACAAAATGAAAAAAAATCAAACCTGAAGCAAGGCAAGATTCTGCCCCTCGGATAAATATCAAGACAAGACCGCAGTCCTTCAAACACCACTGCCGTTCGAGCCAGGAAGGGAGGTGACACTTCCAGAAAACCCGGAATATATGTTTGAGAGTGTCGTCCCATAGATTTGGAGCACGCGACAGGTGAACAACCCAGTTTTGAGATGCATACTTGAGAGCGCCGGAAGATGATTGACTTCGTTCCTGTGCCTCGTTTGCAAAATTTATAAAGAGATTCATGGCACGGATGATCTCTCTGTCAGGAATTTCTGGCGATGCAGAGGTGAAATGACGTCGGGGTATCAACGCCAGGAACGTCGGAAACATCAAGAAATCCGGTAAGCTTTTGAGCTGCCGGACTACTTTGAAGGTTGGCAGTAAAGCCAATTCTGGAGCAATGATATAGTTGCTGATTGCTTCCAACGTACTCGAGAATTCTTCCATAGTCGCCCATACAAACCCCGCAGGAGTGGATTGCCACGCTTGGCCATGGGGCGTCTGGAGCCAGTCTCGTCCTCCGACGGTCTGGAGCCAGTCTTGTCCTCCGACGGTCTGGAGCCAGTCTTGTCCGTCCTGAGTCTGTAACCAGTCTCGTCCTCCATCTGTCTGGAGCCAGTCTCGTCTTCGCTCGGTCTGCAGCCAGTCTGGACCTCGCTCGGTCTGCAGCCGGTTTTGTCCCCTCCAGGTCTGCAGCCAGTCTCGTGCTCCCTCGGTCTGCAGCCAGTCTCGTCCTCTCCAGGTCTTCAACCAGTACCTTCCTCCGTCGGTGTGCAACCAGTATCCTCCTCCCTCGGTCTGCAGCCACTCTTGTCCTCCCTCGGTCTGGAGCCAGTCTCGTGCTCTCCAGGTATGTAGCCAGTCTCGTCCTTCCTGGGTCTGCAACCAGTCTCGTGCTCCCTCGGTCTGCAGCCACTCTCGTCCTCGCTCGGTCTGCAGCCAGTCTTGTCCTCGCTCTGTCTGCAACCAGTCTCGTCCTTCCTGAGTCTGCAGCCAGTCTCGTCCTCCCACGGTCTGCAGCCACCACTCTCGTCCTCCCACGGTCTGCAGCCACTCTCGTCCTCCCTGGGTCTGCAGCCACTCTTGTCCTCCCTCGGTCTGTAGCCACCACTCTCGCCCTCCCGCGGTCTGCAACCGCCAGTCTCGTCCTCCCTCGGTCTGCAGCCACTCTCGTCCGCCCTCAGTCTGCAGCCAGTGTCGTCCTCCCTCGGTCTGCAGCCATTGCCGTCCTCTCCAGGTCTGCAGCCAGTCTCGTCCTCCCTCGGTCTGCAGCCAGTCTCGTCCTCTCCAGGCCTGCAGCCAGTCTCTTCCTCCCTCGGTCTGCAGCCAGTCTTGTCCTTCCTCGGTCTGCAGCCAGTCTCGTCCTTCCTGGTTCTGCAGCCAGTCGCGTCCGCCTTCTGTCTGTAGCCAGTCTCGTCCTTCCTTGGTCTGCAACCACTCTCGTCCTCCCTCGGTCTGCAGCCAGTCTCGTCCTCCCTCAGTCTGCAGCCACTCTTGTCCTTCCTCGATCTGCAGCCACTCTTGTCCTTCCTCGGTCTGCAGCCACCACTCTCGTCCTCCCACGGTCTGCAGCCAGTCTCGTCCTCCCCAGGTCTGCAGCCAGCCTCGTCCCCAGGTCTGCAGCCAGAATCGTCCTCCCCAGGTCTGTAGCCAGTCTCGTCCTCCCCAAGTCTGCATCCAGTCTCGTCCTCCCCAGGTCTGCAGCCAGTCTCGTCCTTCCTCGGTCTGCAGCCACTCTTGTCCTCCCCAGGTCTGCAGCCACTCTCGTCCTTCCTCGGTCTGCAGCCACTCTCGTCCTCCCTCGGTCTGCAGCCACTCTCGTCCTCCCTGGGTCTGCAGCCAGTGTTGTCCTCCCTCGGTCTGCAGCCAGTCTCGTCCTTCTTCGGTCTGCAGCCAGTCCCGTCCTATCCAGGTCTGCAGCCAGTCCCGTGCTCCCTCGGTCTGCAGCCACCACTCTCTTCCACCCTCGGTCTGCAGCCAGTCTCGTCCTTCCTCGATCTGCAGCCAATCTCGTCCTCCCCAGGTCTGCAGCCAGTGTCGTCCTCCCTCGGTCTGCAGCCGCCAGTGTCGTCCTCCCTCGGTCTGCAGCCACTCTCGTCCGCCCTCGGTCTGCAGCCAGTGTCGTCCTCCCTCGGTCTGCAGCCAGCGTCGTCCTCCCTCGGTCTGCAGCCAGTCCCGTCCTTCCTCGGTCTGCAGCCAGTGTCGTCCTCCCTGGGTGTGCAGCCAGTGTCGTCCTCCCTGGGTCTGCAGCCAGTCCCGTCCTTCCTCGGTCTGCAGCCAGTCTCGTCCTCCCTCGGTCTGCAGCCAGTCTCGCCCTCCCTGGGTCTGCAGCCAGTATCGTCCTCCCTGGGTCTGCAGCCAGTCTCGTCCTCCCTGGGTCTGCAGCCAGTCTCGTCCTCCCTGTGTCTGCAGCCAGTCTCGTCCTGTCTGGGTCCGCATCCAGTCTCGTCCTCCCTTGGTCTGCAACCAGTGTCGTCCTCCCTCAGTCTGCAACCACTCTCGTCCTCCCTCGGTCTGCAGCCACTCTCGTCCATTCGTGGTCTGCACCCAGGCACACCCGTCCATGGTCCCCAGCCAATGTTGTAAATCTAAGGCACGATCTCCCCGAAGCCATAACATACAGGTGAGAACTGACAGTGGCTCTGGTGGCCGAACAAGGAACGTTAATGTGTCTTTTAACCTATGGGGGTCCTCAGGTTGCATAGCTTGGCTCTGCTTCTTCAGTTCTGAGAGCGCATCTAAGAGGGCCGTGCTTTTTGGAATCTCTTTTATCATCAAGCGGAGAGACGAATGTGCGAGTAGGGAGTGGGGTGATGTGATATGGCGTACTTGAGGGAGGCCACAGTTTGAGGGGTCGGAAACGTAGTCGCGAACGGATGAGTGATAGATATTCACAGGGAGAATTCTATCTGTAGGGATATCCACGACAGACCGTAGCTGTATCAGAGTTGTCTGCACATCTCTGCCCAAACCAGGGCCAAGAAGTGACGAGATTTGCGAGATGGGAAGAGGGTCTGCGAGCGCCGCGACAATGGACAAGTGCAGGTATGCTCGCGTGGGGTCGGTACATGTGGAGAGGATACGGTCGTATAACTTGTACACCTCCGTTCCTGGCAGCAGCTCGCTCGTCAGCTTCAGCATCAGCTGCAACCGATCGCGGGGATCCTTGTCTTCATCGTCGATAATAAACTTCACTATTATAGACGCCACGATGAAACGTCTGCCAGCGCGGCTTGCCAGCTGCACGAGTTCATCCCTCGTTGGCTGAGGGAAATCGGGATGGCGCCTTGCCAGCTTTGCGAAGGAATGCTGCAAGAAAATATAGATATCTGTGTCGACATCGGCGCCGTCGAGCGAGATGATGGCAGCAACGCCCTCCCCAGAAGTTCTCACTGGGATTTCGCACAACAACGGGCGCACATCTTCGTTCTGAAATGCTTCAGAGATATGGGTTTCCGAGCGACTTGTGAGCAGAATATGGGTCACGGGAAGATCAGGGTCACGAAGAGCCTGCGCGAGGGAAATGATGAGATCGGTAAGCTCGGGTTCGGATGTACATTCATCAAGGGCATCGATAACAAACGTCAAAGGCTGACACCCAAGCAATCTGAGTCGAAGTTTCCGAAGGGGTTGGAGAAAGAGAGCCTTCATCTGGTCGCAGAGAGGCGCGTCTGGGTCTAGTAGAGCAGGTTTGTTGCAGATCGCTCTGTTCACATCCTGCCGGATGCTTGGAAAATTATTGGCAAGCTGGCAGGCAAGCGTTGCAAAGAAATATCCAGCTGTGCAACGTTTGGTGTGCTTGCGCGAGAAAAAGAATGTCCCCGCTAGCCGCATTTCGACATTCGTCTCCTCTGTCACTTTTAGACCTTTCATCCTCTCAGCTACGGTGAATGCGACGGCAGACTTTCCAACGCCCGCCGTGCCATGCAGCCATATAAGTTGATTCTTCTGTTTTTCATCTAGTAATCGGTGGATGTATGTGAGGAGAGCCACACGGGTCCCTTCCAAACATTTCGGGTGAGGCTGACGTTCACGGGAGTTATATTGAGCACCGTTGACAGCAACTTGGGACAGCCTCGCCAAAGTTCCTCCAATCGATGGAAGAACTGTCAAAAAGGTCAAAAAAACGAGAGAAGGTCAAGAGTGAGAAAAACCGACATTGTTCCTCACTCATTCACGAAGGTTGTGATATTCGTGATGAAATGGACAAATTGAGAGCACTGCTGGGTGCGGTTAGAAATCATCTGGGCGATATTTATGTCCATGGACGACGTACGAAGATTTGAAGAATCCGCTGGAGGTAAAGTAAGTTGTCAACTTGGGGTCCCAAAGCGCGATGGAAATGGGAAGAGATAAATGGATGTTTCAATTTATGGAAAGCTTGCTGGATGGTGGGATACAGGAGTGGGTGCTTATCCAGTTGCAGGAGGCCACGAAGTTGCTGTGCATGCTGTTACTGTCTGTACTACGTATTACGTCTTCAGATGTGTTGAGATACTACTACTAAATAGGTACAAGTAAAAACCTGTGCATTTTGCAGTGTAAGGCGCTACGTAGCGTCTGCGTTCGAATTCCATCTCGACTCCTACCGAGTCCTACGTTAGATTCTTACCAGCAATATGATTCAAAACACTGCATTTCAGCTTCGAATTCAGTTCTGAATTTCAGCGCTCTAGTGGTAAGTACTTTGATCCTTCTATTCCTAACAAAGCCAAACATCGAGTCTCCCGCCGGCTGATCTCAGTGTACTTCGCATATAAATTCTTTTCAGTTCTAACATAATGTTATCAAGTTTCCCGTTTGCAAGACAGCTTGCCCCCACTCACATAGATTCTGTCACTACCACATCACTGTATCCATATACACAACACTCCCCACAATGTCCCATCGCCGGCTCTTCGCTTTCCCTCGACGATATATCACAGGCGAATTCCATCGTGAAACTTGAAGATGCGAGTGAGACTGGTCAAATGTACGCGGAATCCTAACATACATCAGAATCTCAGCTCGTCGACGAACTCATTATCGAATGCCATGGCCGAGTCTCCGGATGCACGCAGACATTCAGAGGCAGCTCACATCTAGGACGCCTCTCAGTAAGTCGAAGAGATCCCGTGTTCTGAAGTGCAATGCGGCAAGCTGATCCTTCAGAAGGACCATGGCAAGCACAAAGGCACCTGCGTGTACTGCTCGACGCAGTGCGACGGGTGTGGTATGACTATTACATCAAGTATTGCGATCTCAGCGTATGTCATCCATTACGATTCATCCTCGATCTTCCGACCAGGTGTTAGCGGACTCACATCACATAACATTCTTCCAAGTCTGCGACTTGCAGTTTCTACTTTGAACAATCCCAAGGTCTCCATCGCAGTCTCAAGCACACGCTGTGTAATATTTAGACTACGAAAATCCATCCTCGCGCAAGTAACAATGGCTGGAGCGAATGTATTAACCATTAAATATTAACTATTAACTATTAACTATTTTCCATACTATAAACACGACTGAACTTTCAAGCTCCTAGATAAACGCCCTTTACTCCTCAGGTGCACACAGTTCCCTAATCAGATTCTCATCGATCCTCTTCTCCAAACATATCTCAAACGGAGCAGGATGTACAACCACAGTATCCGAGAAAGCAAGCGTGTCAATCTTCGCTGCAGGGTTCTCAGACAGACGGAAAGCCCAGAGAATAAGAGCCGTGTTCATGAAGATAGACCGATTTGCGACATGTTGACCGGGACACACTCTGACATTTTCAAGTAAGTTATGAGAACCGGTCGAGAAATGAACGATGCCACTCACCGGCGGCCAAAGCCGAAAGTAAAAAATCGGAGATCATTGCGTACACGACCTGCATCGTCGATCCAACGCTGAGGATTGAACTTTTGCGGTTCTGGGAAGACCTCAGGATCGTTTGCGATAGCCCTGAAAGACGAGCGTCAAAGACAAACGTGGGACAACGAAAATGATTGCCTACTGACCAATGGTTGCCAATAACAGTCGCACCTGCAGGAATGAGGTAGTTATTCCAAATTATGTCCTTATTCGCGCGATGCGCAAAGCCTGCAGTGCAAGGTTGTCACCCATTGACGCGTCATCACAACTCAAATGGGACGTACCTCCAAGGGCAACAGGTCTCCACCTCAGACTCTCCAGCATGAACGCGGTAACCTGCGGCAGCATTTCCTGATCATCAAATGTCGGCACTAATCAGGAGCTGTTTCAGCCAGTAGATGAACAAAGCAAAGGTATAACCTACGCCGCGTACGCCCCACGACGTCGTCAAGCTCCTCTTGTACGCGAGCCTGTGCGTCCGTGTGAATGGTAGCAGCCATCATCATAATTGTGATTGCACATGCAGTCTACAACAGTTGTCAAGTTAAGACGTCATGATGCAGTGTAAGAGCTTACCGTATCAGAACCAGCCGCGAACATTGCTCCTGCAATGTATCCCATTTCCTTGTCTTCGAGCTGATACTGTTTCTGGTGCTCTAAAATGAACCTCCCGAAGGATGGCGTCGCGGTCTCCTCACCCTTCACAGCCGTGAGCAACGACATCCGTTAGAACAGCAAAATCACGAACCATCTGTCTTCGCACCGCATCCAACTGCCCGTTGAAGAGAGCAAGTTCTTCTTGGTGCCATGCCTTCAATTGGTTCAGGTAGCCCGGGATGAAACGCAGGATTGGATACGCATCCACAAGGTATGCTCCCGGCTTCATGGCTTGACCAAAACGCTCCATAGACTTGTTGACGGCAACGACTTCAGGGTCTGAGTACGAAGTCGGAGTAGTTTTTCCATAAGTGAAGGACATGACCACGGAAGCTGCATAACTAAAATGCACGGATTATCACTTGTACCACATGAGCAAGAACTAGTGTTCGTACCGCATGGCATGACCTTGGTGATTCTTTGGATCATTTAAGATATCTAAAATCAGATTCTTCGCATTCCTAGTCTGGATGGGCTCGTAGGTCTCCGCAACCTTGGGTTGTAAGCCTGCGTGCAAGACCCTGCTTACATTCAGTCTCACTGATCGCACCCGGTAGAGACAATATGCGTACCTTCGGAGCCGGCGCAATTTCTCACCACTGCCCTCAAGGACAATTCTCATCCCGTCAGATAATGTCTCTTGCACTGCAATAGAACGTGGGCGGTCACCGAGATTTCCTGCTTCTTTTTCCATGATATCTACCGCAGCCTATGACGAGACCCATTTCATGCCTGGCTAGACGATGATTTGTCTGATGCTTACCTGATAACGTCCTATAATCACGAAAATCCTATGGCCTTGTTTGAGCGAAAACACGGGACCGTATTGCTCTGTCCACCTCGCGAATTGAAATGGCGCACTGTGTGAGGGGTCAGAGATCATACTAATGTCCTTCAACGAAGACTTACTTTGACTTTGGCATCGTATTTCCTAAAAGCCAACGTCCAGGCGGTCCAGGCGGTAATGGCAACCGCCTTGCGGCCTGATATCGTTGCTTCACGATCCAGATGCTGGCCAAGACGATAAGGGTGCATGCAACAGTGATAAACGCCATTGAAACGGTTGGACTTCAAGTTGCTGATAGTCAGGACACCCCGCGCCTTAAATACAACAGGTGAAGTACCCAGAACATGGCGATTTGTTGCGATGAGCGAGGGGTACGCTGAGATTACAATGCATGGATTACACCGATTTACAAACATAAGTTCGACACCTGCACGGATCAATCGGACATGTATAAGTCATGTACGGTCTTCCAAGTTCCACGCTCCACTTACCTTCAATAGATCCGCAAGAAAACTGACCCACCTAGTAGTGATTAGTAGTGGACGTGCAAATACCAAGATATTTCGACTCCATGTAGATCTTCGTGTCGTTCCCGATGACCCATTGCACCACGGGACCATTAGGTTTACTAGACATTATAATGGACCGCGTCAACTTGGAAGCGAAAGTGCCGAAGCGGGTCACTATTCTAAAAATAAAGCGTCATATGTACTCGGCCTACGTAAGAGCAAATGCATGATATGCGACCGATGTCCACGTGGTGTGAAGAAACGCCCAACGTGATACATACTATGTGGATATGACCACTTACTTGTCATGAATCGCATGGACATTGGACATTCGTCCGGATGGATGCCTGCGGCCAGCCTGTGGGATGTCATAATACGGTAATAGAGGTCATCCGAACCGCGAAGCCATTGCCATCGTACAGCCTTGAGCTTGAGGTTTCTGGACGTCTCTGATATCAGATCGATTATGGAGTCAAGTCTCTATAATATTGATGCTCGGAAGAAAACTTTGGGTACCTTTACAAGGGTGAGCTATGCATTCTTGCGTTTCTTTGATCCGCAATGCTAAACCGTGTTCCATGCTGTAGGCGGCCCGCGTGAAGACCAATTTGTACAAGGTGTATATCATAGATGCAAAGTGTGTATATTGCGTTACCAACGTCCATTTGCTGCATAATCCTTTTCTCTCGACTTTGCAACTGAACTTTCCAGCATCGCCAAGGATCAGTTTTGTTTTTGCGCCTGCAACAGGTGTGATGAAATGAGTGAGTGTGATTGGCATATGAATACGCTCATCCATGTCCGAAGGTCTCGTAATCAAAAACAAGTGATGACGCCTGATTGTAGGAAAACAAATACGGCGAACAAACCACCCAACAATACAAAGGCGGCAGTCCTTCCCTCTCTTTCTATTCTGTCCGTCCTGTCATCGTCCCTCTGCTCGTCATGCGTACTCCCGTAGCCCCTATGTACTTCTCGAGTGCCCCCCGTTTCTCCTAGACTCCATCCATTCTTTCCTTTATCTGTGTTTTGCCCCGTCGCGTTCCCATTTTGCTGTCGCAAGAGTTCCCTCAACTCCGCCAATTTCCCCTCCTCCCGAATGATGACGGCCGCACCAAGTTTTGCCTTGATCAGCTCTTTAACGGCCAGCTTGGACTGCTCGTATTGCTCGTCGTGCCAGTACCCAGGACCGTCCTTGAGTGGTTTCCCTCTCGTAGTGGTGATGCAAGCGTGCCCATCGAACCCCAGCCCGTGCCTCTCAAATTCGGCTTCGTGCTCCTTCCACCACCCCTCCATCGGATCCTGGTTCTCCAGACCCGTCACAACGAGCACTACAGGCACCTTCTTGCCCCCGATGATGCTATAAAACGCGTCGTAATTGATTCCTAGAGCATTGCTTACGCCCGCGGCGTTGACGCAGAACAGAAGGAGGTTGAGGCCGCCATGAATGTTTTGTATCAAACCCTTCAGGTTCCTTTCAGCACCCTCGGACAGCGCATCGTGATTTTCCCCCTTCTGCAGCCCCACCGAATCCCACACCACCACCTCCCGTCCGCCCACGTCGACAGCGTAACCCCTACTCGCGAACGCTGCGAGGTCTGGGTTGGATGGAGATGATACATCCCGGCCGACGAGCATGTTGATGAGCGAGCTTTTACCTGATTTGCGCTCGCCGAAGAGGATGACGTTGGGGCGGGAGGGCTGTGGGGGGAGCCGGCCGCGCGTGCCTGCGTTTACGGACTCTGACTCGCCCCTGTCTTTCGCACTACCTGTGAAGCGCGCCCAGAAGCCTGGTTTGGGCTGGGGCTCTGTGCGGTTGTCTACCATGACGATGTCATCTGAGTCGGCGGGCGAGGGCTGGCGGTGTCTATATGCGTCGTACCCGCGGCTTGGGCCTGCGGCTGCGTACACCGACTGAGGGGGCGTGAAGAGGGGAGAACGCTCGTTGTATTGTGAGGCTTGCTGGTCTTCGGCGGGAGCGCGTTGTCTGCTGCGGTCGTCTGTGGGGGGTTGGCGCTGTCTCGTACGGTCGCGGTCTTCAGGGAGGAGCTCAGCTGGTGGACGTTGTTTTCCGCGGTCATCTACTGGGCTCGGGCGCTGCCTGGTGCGGTCTTCAGGGCGAGCTCAGCTGGTGAACGTTGTTTTCCGCGGTCATCTGCTGGGCTCAGGCGCTGCCTGGTGCGGTCCTCGGAGAGGAGCTCTCCTGGTGCACGTTGTTTACCTTTCTCTTCTGCGGCAGCTTGACCCTGCCTCGAGCGGCTGCGCTCGCGGTCTTCTTGGATGGGCGCAGCCGGTGCAAGCTGTCTGCTGGCGTCATCGCGCCGTGTGGGGTCATCTTTTGGCGGGATATCTGCGGGGTGGTGGTCTGTGTTAGTCACAGTCTTTCACAGATTCTGGGTTGCTCGCACTTGGTGGTAGTTGCTGCTGTTGCTGCTGTCGCGGTTGCTGTTGTCGCAGTTGCTGTTGCTGTTGCGGTTGCGGTTGTTGTTGTTGTTGCTGCTGCTGCTGCGATTCCAACACCTGAGGCCGCGCGGCGGGGTCTGGAGGTGCGTCTTCACGCCTTTCGGGATTGGCGAATCTTCTCATGTGCTGGGACTGGGAATCGACGGCTATGGATTCAAAATTCATGGGCGTTGGAGGTGAAAGGTCATGGTATATGTACACTGTGCCACGCGGGTAGGCACATGTTGTTCACGAGCCAAGGCGCGCGCGTGTTGCACGCGTTTTTTGCTAGCCTCACACAGGAGTGCTTTTTCTGGCATCTAACGAGGTGCAGGGTCCATTCAAGCATTAAGTGCTGTGCACTTCTATTCATGTCCGTCAAGTGGAACTGGTTCTGTGATGTAATGGTCTGGCTTTCTCTGGTATAGCATGTGTGATCAAGCGCTGACGGTCTGTGTTGTGCCCCTGCGGTACACAGGATGTCACGTTGAATGGAAGTACCACCACGTAGCCATACATAACACCACCCTCATACTCGTGTTGCGTTATCTTGTGTTTGGTAATATTGAAGTGGCAAGGGAGACGACGCAAGGGGGTGTTGCACATTCATACACATTTGAGTTCATCTGCATTTGGATGTGCGCTAATTATCTCGTGTCATATTGCCTCGAGTCGTGCATCGTGCAGTACTATCAGGACACGTAATTTGATTCACCTCGTGTTTGGCAGGGCTCAACGCAGTGTGCGTAGGATTTTCAAGGGGACGAAAGTACAATTACCTTACATGCGTGATTCTTGTGACGTTGTTACTGAGGATCTTGAATAATATCTGTACCACAAAGCTCTGAGAAACAATAAATACCGCAGGGAAAGTAACAGTACGAGCAACGTAACATGTGCGCCGTTGAAGTACGCAAGCCTTACACCCATTCCTGCCCGAGTTCGGGCATTTCTGCGCGCCCACTTCTCCCGCAATAAATTCTAGATCAAACTTTCCATTATCGTCCTGCTTCACATTGAAGTGTGCACACCGGCAAGACGCGCACCAGTTATCGATCGTCGGGTACGGGCAGTCATCCAGTCGAGCAAATGGGCATCCTGTTCTGCGCACGTACGTCATGGTGAACTCCGCCGCACTAAGTTCAAGTGGATTCTTATCCTCTCGCATATATTCGGGGCCCTGTCATATGCCGTGCTTGTAAACACACAGAACACGGTGATTCATCCCGAGAGGTATGTCGGCTCGCTTCATTCACCGCCATGGGGCGCGGCTTCGGACCAGAGGTCGAGGTTTTTTGCGAACCGAGAGATGACGGGTGGGAGGAAGTGCTTCCATGTTATCCCTTCTATATCATAACGGAATAGCCGCACTAGTCGCTCTAACATCATTTCCCAATCACCCTTCTCACCAGGAGGGCCACACGTGATATTCCGCTGATCAGTCTGAACAATATTTCACTGCTCATCTTTATCGTATAACGGAAACACAATTCCACATTGCCATCATGGACATGTCATACACATACCGTTCCGCGTCCGTTGTTGTTGAAAACTGAAGCATGGTCCAATCCATCAGCACTAAATCCACCATGCGTGTGCGCGTAAAGTCCGTCTTCTGGCGCGCTACCAGCGCAAAATCTGCTGTGTTACGATTTCGATCTTCAATGAATATGGCTGGCCGATGTCTAGACGTCACCCGGCCAGAGGCTGAGCTCGCTATGTTCGTCGTATGCGTCGAGGACGGTATGCACGAATTCATTTGGATTTGGAATGATGTCACACACCGCCTCGAGCTCTGTGGGAAGGACGTTTGAATTGTTCGGGTGAGATCTTTTCGAGGACGGCGAGATAGGGTCTTGGCCCCGGATCCAGAGACGGTTGGTTTCCGTGAATGGTTCTGCGGAGTCCGGGGAGGTGTAAGCAGATCCAGAAGGTCGAGACTGAGAACTGTCCTCAGATGAATTGGCAAGCATTCACAATATGAATCAAGAACTTACCACGGGCTGGGGAAACAAACTCAGAAGTCACAGTACTAGAAGGGGAAGATGTTGGGTTAGAGATTGCTTGTTATAACAGGGCCACACAGGCTGATGATTAAACTCATTTATAGGTTTGATTCAGATCGAGTCATTCGGTTGGTGTCGTCCTCTTCCCTCCATATTTTCCTATTCATGTGGTAGAGTCTGTCTTAGTCTACACCTTTGAGCATCTTTCAAGATACCTACTGCAAGCAGGAGGATGTCGTGGCAAGTTCCATTTGCTCATCGCTTCGTTGCAATTGCACTCAACGAAATGAGATTTGTGATGCCCCTCTATATAGCTATCTGAAGTTAAAAATGTTGGAAAATTTCAACTGAACATCTCCCACCTTTCGAAAATGGCTAAGAGAACCCGAAAGACTCGGAGCCGCACTCGAGTACGTGACGCAGAGCGTTCAGCTGAACTTGAAGATACCAACATCCGACGGTCAGTTGGGTGAGATTCACAACAAAGCATACCCTATTCCATAGCGAAACATACTCACGACTGTATACATTCCCCATAATCGTATTATATCGCGTTATTGTCGTCGCAGAGTCTAGACTGTGATAAAGTTAATTAACTAGTTTCTGCTGTCGGAGTGCGAAATTGGAGTTGTCTCTCGAAACGCGACTGGGCGTCTCAACAGCTAAGTACATACCAGCTCACGCGCTCGCGCCTCGTTCTTGTGGAACGTGGCAGGTCAAGGTAATGAACCCTTCATCAACATATGTTTCATTCAGAAAATGAGTACTGATAACGCTCCTGGTCAGGTTTACTACACAGACCACCGGAAGGCTATCCCGAGACGCTTGGCAGGTGCCGCTACCGGGTTCTGGAAAGGAATAAGCTTTTCGACACCAAGGTTTTCGAATTCTTCATCTGCTTCTGTCTCGTCTGTTGAACCGCTGGATCGTCCTGAATCACCCGCCATGTCCACTCCAGATGTCCCCACAACCCCTCTGACGAATTCAAACGGTGCCCTCCCGCACGACAGCCCTGTAGATACACCTCCTCCCTTTGACACCTCACTTTTTCGGTCATATCTCGAGTCGCTCTTACCACCGGTACTTGGCGCTCTACCCGAGGAATTTGTAGGCTTATTTGATGAAGAATTTGACGAAAGAGTTACTCGCTTTGCGGCCGAGGGTGGAGGCGTGATTTACGTGGTGAAAACGAGGGATGAAGCAGAGGGTGAGCTTTTGTATTCAGGTTAGAAACTAACCTAACGCGTACTAGAGGACGCGTCACAGACTTACTCATACCATCTAACTTCGCATCTGACTTATTCTCCTGCGAGTGTTACATCACTTGCACTCATCAAACGCGGTCCCACTTTGGATCCTGTGACACCTCTTGCCACGCAACTACATATCCTCAATTTGTTTGGAGGCGAAGAGACACCGTACGAGAGTTTGCATGCCGTCGTAAGCTGTGGTGTTAAGCCCTGGTTTGATGCTTTTGTCGGAGCACGGGGTGGGGGCAAGGATGGGGATAGTAAAATGGGTATGTTTCCACTTTCTTTCTTTGGTTTCACTCACTTGCGTTTATAGGGATACCCATGACCAAAAAGAAGTTTGCCGAATTGGAATTGTCATTATTGCACCTTCAGCAGAACGTGGAAATACCTGAGACGCATTTGATCATTCATCCAGTCATCCAGCGCGCCGTAGAACAGGTTGGTTCCTCAGTTACATTAGTTGTCTAAAGGCTGAAGACATCACATTAGGCACGTGCTTCAGGCGCACGTCCAAACATATCGCACATACCTCAAAAGCAACTAAACGAGAGTTCGTTCCTCAACACTTTACACGGACACGTCAACATGTGGATCAAGGCTATTCAAGCCGTCACTAAGCTTTCGCGTGACGTCTCCTCTGGTACCGCTTCGCAAGAAATCAATTTTTGGCTGAGTCTTGAGCGGGCACTGGAGGGTATTGAGACGCAGCTACGCAGCGATGAAGTGACCATGGTCATGGAGTGCCTTCGAAATGCGAAACGATATCTCGCAACAGTCAGTTTCATGACGGACACTGGTCTGAAGTCTTCTACGGATCTTGGTGCGCGTTCTTTCTGGCATCGTCAATTGAGTGCTGACGAGCATCATTAGTGCACAAATACAACCAACTGATGAAAGATTTTCCTCTCAATGAACTGTTGTCTGCGACAGATCTTGAAAAAATCCAAGAATCACTGGTGCTCATCTTTGGGCATATCAACCGCAAGCTCAAACTTTCGCCCTACCCGATCCGTCGGGCACTACCCCTCGTCGAGGCAATCTCTCGCGATTTCAACGACCAGCTATTGCGCGTGCTGACGTCACACAGGCTGTCGTACACTCCGTACGAAACCTTTGACCGCTTACTGGGACAGACCATGAACATCTTCCGGACGTGGGATGACCTCATCAAGGAGTTTACGAATGTCGCTCGCGAGGTTATGCGCAAACGCGGAGAGAAGTTTGTCCCCATCAAAGTTGTTGCTGCGCATGCAAAACTACAGGAGCGGACGAGGTATCTGCGCGACTGGAGGAAGCAACATGAGCAGCTGGCGGTGATGACGGGGCCCACGAAGGGTTTGGGGAACATGACTAAGGAGGTGGGTGGAATGGACATGGAGGAGGAAGTGAAGGAGGCGTATGAGGTGGTGAAGCGCATTGATGTTCTCGATGTTTCTGTTGGTGAGCACCTGACTTTGACATATCGTTGTTAAAGTCACCTCACTCTCTTTACAGAGGGCACGGAGATTTGGGTGGCTGCCGAGAACGCATACAATGAACGGGTTGCAAGGGTCGAGAACCAAATTATTGCACGGCTACGCGATAGGCTAGGCACGGCAAGAAACGCGAATGAAATGTTCAGAGTGTTCTCTAAGTTCAATGCACTTTTCGTTCGCCCGAAGGTAGTTCATTTTGTGGGACGATGTGACACTTGTTTATGCCCATGTCCCACAGATTCGTGGAGCTATCCAAGAGTATCAAACTCAACTCATCGACTCAGTAAAGGAGGATATCAAGCGCCTTCACGATAAGGTAGGCAGCATACTCTTGTATTGTCTCCGTTACTTATGATGAACATCAAGTTCAAAACGCAATACCGATTCTCTGAAGCCTATCATATGTCACAAATGCGCGACCTACCTCCAATAGCAGGTGCCATCATCTGGGCTCGGCAGATTGAGCGACAGCTACTCACCTACATGAAACGAGTGGAGGATGTACTTGGCAAGGGCTGGGAGCTCTATGCAGAGGGTCAGAAACTTCAGTCAGAAAGCACCGCATTCAGAAAGAAGCTGGAGACACGGCCAGTGTATGACGCCTGGCTGCATGACATCAATCGACGCGACATGGGGGTCAATGGCCGTCTCTTTGAGATCGTGAGATTACGGGGAGGAGGGTTCCAACTAGCGGTAAACTTCGACCCCCAAATCATCACACTTTTCAAGGAGGTTCGCAATTTGTTATGGCTAAACTTCCAGGTCCCACACGCGATTACGAACATGGCGAAGGATGCGAAGCGAGTATATCCTCATGCTGTCAGTCTTATGGAGACTGTCAGAACCTATGGGCAGACTCTGGATCTGGTGGAGAATAACATGGGTATCGAGTGGTTGGTTGCTGAATATCGGAATGAGGCTCAGCGGATGGTTGCCAAAGGTGATCAGATTGGACCATGATTTATCGGGGCTCTGACGCTTTATGTCCAGGTATGAGCATCAAGTGGGATTACTTTGTCAACCAATACGACACCGCACGGTATGTGACCAGCGCCGATGGACGTGAGAACCGACATATCCAATTCGTGCGGGAGTTTGCGAGCGTCGTGTCTATTCTACAAGACAAGACCAACAACGTCATTGACCTGTATCGCAATATTCTTCGAGCAGTCGAGGATCTCGCAACATGCCCTTATACTAGTGAGGCATTCTCAGATCTTCTGGGCAAAATTCAAGCTGCTGTGGGTTGTCTCTTCATCATTATTGTTTATGTGCTGAATATATGCAGATTGATCGCCTGAATCTGGAGGGATACGCTAATCTTGAACACTGGGTGGCTGACCTCGACAAGCGGATAGAAGGGATCCTGCTTCAGCGGTTGGGCTATATCATCCAAGTCTGGTGTTCTGAGTTTGATCGGACAGATGATGGTGATGCGCGCCGAGATCCAATACCTTTGCGGGACATCACCAACAAGCGACGGGCTGGCAAAGGCGGGAAAGAGGAGAGGGTATGGTATGTTGTTGTTCGCAAAGCTAGTACTGATCCATCTTTCCAGGTCGCCGAGGGCAACATGACTGTAAAACCCATCGTTCACGAGATTCGGATACAGAACCAAGTGATCTTCCTTGATCCACCTATAGAATACGCACGTGCGATTTGGATAAAGCAATTGCATGACTGGTTAGGTACGTACGGTATTTCCAATCGTTCAAAACTTCACTGATTTTTTGAACAGGCGTTATCTGTCGATTGAGACGTATTCAAAGTTCTCGATACGAAATTGGGTTGCAGATGCAGGGCACGCAAGTGTCAGAAACAACATATACTTCTCTGGTACGTATCTCCCACAATATGTCGAGGCTACCACATTCTTAAGAGCTCTACCTAGCTCACACGATTCTCCGACAACACTCTAGAGCGACCATTTTCTCTCATAGAACTCAAAGTTCAGAAGCTCAAAGACTATGTCGCCAAGTGGTTGCAGTTCCAGTCGTTATGGGATCTAGAGGCGGAATATGTCTTCAATCGCTTAGGAGACTCCCTCGCGCATTGGCAGCAACTTCTGACAGAAATCAAGAAAACGCGGTCGACATTTGACACGTCAGAAACGCAACTGAGTTTCGGTGTCTGTGTCGTGGATTACGAGCAAGTCCAAGCCAGAGTAAACGCCAAATACGATGCGTGGCAACGGGATATTCTCAGTCGTTTCGGTGTGAAGCTCGGAAATGCGATGAAAGAGATGCATGCCTCGATCATGAAGGCGCGAAACGAGCTGGAGCACCATTCGATAGAGGGTTTGGTTGGAGGAGCACGAAGATTTTGAGTTGTGGTACTTACTCTCCTTTTTTATACCCGTCCATGCATCGCGCCGTTCGTTATTTGGACCTTACGCTGTTTCGTTTTGCATGCATGGCCATCATGTTCTATTGTATCGGTTACCCGTAAAAATCTGTAATGGATCCTGACTCGGAGGCAGTAGAGTTCTTGGTGAAGAGAGGTCAAGAAAAGTACAGAACGAAGTACTTGATTGATGATGGCACCCACACCACGCCCTATCATTAATTTATACCAATCACTGGAACAAATATTACCTTGCAACGGAGCAAGGTCTTTTTTTTGGGTGGAACGATACTGACAAAGTCAACCTTAGTATAGGGGTTGCACCCGTGTTGGGTCAAAGAGATAGTCATCATTGACACCGAGCCGGCGGTAGCAAAACCCACTTACCGGTCGTGTGCGTGTGCGCCCAACTCTGAATGCACCTAATAATTAACATCATAAACCTACTTACCAAGGGACCTTTTCGGTCGTTTCTGAACTGCAGAAGGAATTTGGCGTTTCCGTGCAGAGATGCGGACGTGTCATCGTCAACGTCGACAATTCACGTGACTATCTCGTCGACGCTTCGACCACACCTACCGTTACACTATTTTCGGCAGTCTTCCAAACCCCACCATGAGGGACGCCAACGTTTTTGCATTTCGCAAGGCCATGCCTCGAATGGTAAGTTCCATAGCTATTATCTTCAGCTAAAACTTAAACAGACAAAATATTTTTAACAGAGCTGGTCTCCGCGTAACCTCTACAACCTCTGGAGGCGGTCCTGTGGTGCCGAGGCCGAGGCCATTGACTTCACTCGCTCGCCTAAGACGCTGTTTCAGCAGCGTTGGATCTCGAAAGCACTCGTACGTGCATACCACGGTGACTTCATCAACGAGAAAATATTTAAGCGATGGTATCTCCCCGACACTCTTCCCGACGTGCGACCTCGTCAGCACGCGCCCTCTAGTAATGGCGATCTCGACGCATTCGCCGGGCGTACTGAACATCTGGAGAGAAGAAAGAAGAAAGCATCTGACGAGCAAAGGAAAGGCTTGGCTCCTGTGGGCAGCTTAATGCTTGCTGAGGTGGAGCGACGCATCGACGTGTTCATCTTTCGGTGCTGCTTCGCCCATAGTGTCTATGAGGCACGGAGACTCGTCGTTCATGGATCCGTCCTGCTAAATGGCAAAAAGGTGCGCCAGTTTTATGCTCTGGTATTAGCGTCGATATACTAATGCACATCTACAGCATACGAATGCCAACGCACGTCTGGCCCCAGGCGACATGGTCTCCGTTGACCCTGCAGCCATTCGTTTCCTCCAGGAGCCTGAATCTACGCAGTCCTCGTTGACGCCTTTTCAACCTTCCTCCATATGCGTCTCCCTTCGTTTTCATTCCTGCCTATGCAGAGGTCTCCTTCCCCACATGCAGTGCCATATATGTTCGCCACCCAACGGCACGCCCAGGATACAGTGAAATTCCAACACCTTACGACGCCGACGGTGAAGTCATCCGACTTGCATGGGAATGGTACGCAAAGATGCGTCCAAGGACGAGGAGTAAGAAACAAATGGCGAGGGAACCAGAGAACAGATCAAAAACGCAGCTCCACCCGCACCGCCCACTTTAGGTAGCAGCACACCTCACACCTTTAAAATCATCACAGAACAAGATTAGCTCAATTATTCTACCATATAATGCACAAACTATTGGCGGTCCCGACAGTATGCATTATGAGCCTGTCTACTGTACTTCAAGTGCTAGCTACTCTGAGTCGTCAATAACGATCGAGCTCGATGGACCGCTTCTCATGCCTGATGACTCTCCTGGGACATTCCTACTAGTACTTTCTTCATCCTCGGGCAGGCGGGGCATTAGCTCGTAGAATAAAGCATCACTCTCCATGTTTTTCACACCCTGGAACCAAAACTCATCCCATCCAACCTCAACAGACCAATTGAACATGTTGTGGATGCGAAACATCCTCTTCTGACTGAAGAAACAACGAATTTGTCCTGCTGCTGCCTGATATCTCAACCTCAACCTCAACCTCAACCTCAACCACTTTTCCTAACCCCGATGTGTATTCCTCATTGTTGTCTTCGTCAGCATCATGCTGCAACTGCAGTGCAACAGTCGAAAATGACGATGACGGAGGGCCACTGCTCTCAGGTACATTCTCCGGATCATCATCATCTGATTCGGACTTCAGTCGGTAGATAAAGAGCCCCTTCTCTCACTTCCCAAAGCGATGCGTCCAGTGCAGGCTTTGGTTTGGGACTGGATTGGGTCTGAGTGTCGGAGCAACTAATCCTGTGGATAAAGGAGAAGAAGAGGTGCCACTCCCTGTATTCGAGGTACAACCTGCCATGCCTGCCATGCCCTTACTTGGGAACGGCCATATTAACGGGTCCGTGTTTTGGAACGGTACCGGACCGGATCTGTACCTGATACTTACGGCCCTCTCAATTTGTTTGACGTCACTGGCTCAACTGCAGATGATTGGAGAACGCAATCTATATATCAGGACAGTGCCCCGACTTACCCCGCAGATTATTACAGATAGATTTGCGCTTGCTAACAAGGACAGTGGCATCGCTCCCTCTATCCAATGTGATACAGCTGCCCGTGACTTCAGCTTTTGATACCACATAGCTAGGCAGCAAGATGTGTGGGAATCGTTATATCGCTATTCAAGCTTAAGTGGCAGCCATATCGATTTCCAGGCGTTTGTATACCATACAGATATGAACATCATGCTTTGCAATCGTGATATCAATTAATTCCGAAACACATACCAGCAATAATTGGTGTAAGGAGAGTATGCAAGCCAGATGTCGCATAATACAGGAGAGCCTACGAGTTGCAGGTACTAGTATAACACGCGAGCGTGGATGTGGAAAGCCAAACTGTTTGACGTTTTTGAGCGAGATCGAGCATGCAGCGCAGGCCGGCCGGGCAAAGGCAACCCACAGATACAGTCACACAAGGTGGCAAGCCTCGTTGCGTAGACGACGAATGAGATCCTCGGTGGGCAACGACGACCAAGGCGCCGCCCGCACCACGCGATCGCAGAATGATGTACATAAGTAGGAGGGGCAGGTCGACGAAGCACTGCAGTAACCTTAGAGCCGTACACGTCCTCAAAGAAAGCACACAGCAGCGGCAGAAAGTGAAGATCACATTCATGTGGAAGCTGCACAAATGTGAATTCAGGCAAAACGTCAGGAACAGACTTCGCCAAGAACGATGCATATAACTCAATGAAGTAGTGGCAAATGGCAGCGAGGAAATTGTATTTGGTGCAGCGGACGACAGAAAGACCTGGCACGCCTGAGACAGGTTGAGATATGCCAAAACAGTATGCAGGTGAGGTCTGATGGTCTCCTCACTGGAATAGAACCAAGGGGGATACTTTTCCAACGAGCGCGAAAAAGAAACACCTTGGGACGAACCAAGGGAGAGTTGACGGATGATGGAACAGCGGCGATAACCAGCAGTCAGCTAGTGACAGTGAAACAGACATGTCATGGAGGGTCACTACAATGGCGATACCGTCAAACGAAATACAACCCTAGGCTCGTGACCAACCTGACATATACTAAGTACCACGGATACTCGAGTGGTGTAGCCAGGGCCAGGCTGGTCGATCTCGGAGTGGCGTGGCAGGGCGAAGCGAGGAGTTTAAATTTTAGGTGTACAGCAACCGCTATGGCTTCAATTGCTTTTCAGGAGCACGACCATGTGGCAACTAGCAGTAGTGTATAGCGCAAGAGATGCTTGATATCATTTATTTGCGTTGGGTGGGTAATCTGCAGCGAGCGGGAGAATATTTGTTTTTATTTATTCCAGGTTTTGTCATGGTACTTATTTATCGAAGTAGATATAGGTCATACAAGAGCTTTTGGCGAACTATCATAAGTAGAGGTCTCTCCCCGACGCCGAGGTTCATACACTTGATCTCAGTAGTGCTGTCAAGATCGTAGTGGCTGTGGAAGTCGATTCGCTGCTGATGCCATTGCTGAAAGATGGCTGTTTTCAGGACCTCAGAGAAGTACTCGACCACTCAAGTGGCGCCTGTCACAGGACCCTTTCGGCACCCCCGTTCATCCCAGCTGCTCCAGGATTACGCAGTGAGTACCTCTAACAGGACTTTGGCTTATTGATCAAGCCATTGAGCTCAAGCAGATCCGGTGCTGCAGCGCCATCAACCACGTTCGAATTGGGAGGGCGAATAGTGGGAAATTAGCAAGCGCACTGGACGGTCCGACCCAGAGCTAATTTTCAAGTGTCGTTAGAACAAATGAATGCTTCATGGTGTACAGCAAACAAGAAGAATGATTAGACAATCACATTTGCTCAAAATCTTGAAGTCGAAGGAGTCGCATATACTCACTCGCATGCTAGTGGCGAGAGGGTCAAGCTGCAGTTCGTCGAAGTCATGAATCCCACTCACATTACGCTTACTCAGCGCTGTTTGTCTATGAAGTTCGCTCTACGTTCGTAAATACTTGCTGGGTGGCTTCACGGATGTCAAGAGCGGTACGTTTCTTGTTGTGGTGCCAAGTCAGCGCTTCGGTGAAGTGATAGAGAGATACGGGATGCTCGGGGTGACCCTGCGAAATTCAAATGCAATGCAAGGGCGTTGCAGCCTAGAGATGCTAAACCCACTCACCGAGGCACCCTTTTGGCCGTTTCCGAACCGATTGGTAAGTCTCCATGCAGAGAGGATGCTGGACAAGGGAAGTAGGGAAATGAATATCAAGAGGAAGAATGACTGCTCACATCCTGGGAATAAAAACATGGAGGAAGGAAAGAAAAAAATGATAATCGCGGAGTCAGGGACTGGGTGTGTGATACGCACCGCTACGATTTGTATCCATTCCAGATCACACTGTCTTTGTGACGTGTTTTCAGCTTGAGAAACTTGTCGGTCATGCCTTCGCTAGTGTGAACTTGTTGAGTCACAGGTGTGGTCAGGTGGATCACTCAGCTCGTCGTTGACAGGAGTCTTCGTAAACGATACATTGCAACTCAGCTGTTGCAAACCCTCAAGGTTGACCCCTTGTTTCAAAGAGTTACGGCTGTCGGCCCGAATTGAGGCATGCGCATGAGCTGGGGCCCCGGGGGCTGGGCTGCGGCCCTGCTTGTGGGTGCTACAGGGCTCAAGCTGAAACAATGAGTCATGTCACCATTTAATACTATCAAAACTGTGGTAGCGTGAACTAGGTTGATAATAACCATGGCCACATCGTGCGAAATGATCAAAGAGCTCAGGGCCAGACACTGTGGAGCATGAGCTCACACCAAGTCATAGTCGTGAGCACGACTGTGTGGTCCGTGGAAACACACCGAGTATTACTGTATTAGAGAAAGCCAATCAGAAGACGCCTGAAATATACATGTCGTGAACTGCGCATTACCTTTTTTTTTGCAGAGTAGCATTATTATTAATTTATCCCGCTCGAACCATTTCTCTGGACGGAATATCACCCGATCAGCGCGATCCGTCCGAGTCAGAGTAGTAAAACCGTTTGGCGACAGTGGTGAATGCGAGACCAGCTTGACGGCTATTTCACCTTGGCGAGCTTGAGCCCGGCTCAACGTGCCATCTGCATGCATTATTGGCTATTAGCCCATAAAGAAATTCAGAAGGGGTGTTCGCCTAGGGTATTAGAGAGGTTAATAGATTTCGTGTGGAGGTGATCTAATTAGAACGAACGAAACCCTGAACATCTTCGTCCGTACGTAACTGCTGTGTGATTATACTTATATCGGGGACTCATAAATATTTCGTTTAGTGAACGCGAGTACGTTGATGTAGGGGTAATTTCAACCGTAGAGATGATATCGATGGAATCAACCAACCCGTCAAGTCAGTTGCATTGCACTATATAATGAGCTCCACTAGTAACTCACGGGGTGTAAACGGAAGGCGGAATGGTTTAAATTCAGTGCTCAGCGCTTCCCATCATAGAATACTTGGCTCCCTTATATCATAAACGATAAACGATTTTCATTGGCTAACTACGCTAAGGAAAGAAGACTGCCATTACATAATGGCCTTCTTGATAATGAACCGTTCATACAAATGAACGAGGGAAGGCCACCATTATAATGTGCTGGTGTCAAGTCAGCATCGGATAATGAACTTACCGTGGTCCAAGATTGGAGTGTGCGATGCCCTGTTACTATCACTCCTCCACCATGCTGTGACTCGGATCCCCTGCTACTACTTTGCCACCATTCCGTGACTCGGATCCCCTGCTACTACTCCGCCACCATTCGGCTGCCAAGCGGCCCAAGCTGTTATAAAAACTAGGTACCTGGCAGCAGTGTAACGTAAGAACATGAAGAAAAGACTTGGGAAACCTCAATTGTCGGCTCAGATAATTGATGAGTAGCACCTCTGGAAAATATGCCGAGCGGTGAACGAGGTTTTTCACCCCTGCTGTAACTGAGCTAATGCTCGTATCTTGCTGTAGGAGCCGAACAATTTCGGAGTGGTAGTAACAGGTCACACATCACCAGCTTTTCTTTACTCACTTGCCAACCCCGGCGGACCCTTTGCGCTGCGGCTGCTCCTGCATGATTTCTCCTTGCAGTAATGCTCCTGGCCCATTTAGATTCTAGTATGCTTCTGCCAGCGTGGACTCAATCGACGGTCTGGTTCACCCTCATTCAATCGCAAGGGACAGGCTAAGGGTCGAAACTGGTCTCGCCGGAGATCTGTTAGTAAGTAATCGCGGCATCCAGGGAACCAGTTGTGTTCAACGCGATTGTGATTGGTGTTCTCGTTCTACCATTACCCCGGGTTATGGCTAGGCCTGGCAAGCTTATTATCACCTACGTGAAGCTTTGGAAGCACATGGTACGGCGATTGACGTTCAAGTCGAGGTTAAATATGCAAGAATCTGTGTACAAGAACCGAGCCATAACACAAGCTTGGAATTGACGACCTCGACATATCGCTAGCACAGAGCAGGCTTTGAATTGACTATGACGCTCGAGATTAAGTAACCTTTCCGAAAAGCCGACCACCTCAAGTTCAGCTTCAGCCTATTATCCTGGTCTTATGTACAGGATCCCGTACGTCAAAATTTAATGTCCGAGTGACATCCCCCCCAACCGTCAACGTCAACTCAACCTCATGTGTGCGACAGCTGGCTCGTTGTCTTCATAGGAGGAATTTTACCCGAGTTCTTATATAACAGCTGCTCTTTACTCGTCTTTAACTCAGATCCACTCGTTTTCTTCATCACTTGCACCTTAGCAAGTAGTTCGTCTTGGTGTCTTGCTTAACCTCTTTTTATCTGTTTTCTCACCAGATTGTCATGTCATCCCAAACCCCACAGACAAATCTGCCCATAGAACGGTTTCGCCTTGATGGAATGATGCTATCATGTGGATTCTATGGTGTGTTTTTGTTCGAAGACGACAATGCGGAAGCTGACTTGCGTACCGCAATAGGCATGTTCTTTCTTCTTACAGTGCAAGCATGGACTGCTCTCATGCAGCAGCCTCGACTTGGAGGAAAAATAGCAGATAATCGTCTCGCGCTTCTTTTCTACGTCTTCATCACGTTCGCATTGGGGACGATAAGCACTGCTGTGAACGCAAAGTATACAGAGATGATTTGGATTGATCTTCGTGATGCACCTGGTGGTCCACTCGCGCTGATCGAGGACTACATGAGTTATCGTATCAACTTTATAGGGCTTGCCACGTAATTGTCCTTGTCTTTCCACCTGCAAACCCCTAGTATTGACGCCCCGTCTAGTGGTCACATTCAGGAGTGGTTTATGCAAGCTCTGCTCGTGAGCCTAATAGTTCTTCGGATCGTCTGCTTATAGACTGATGCTTGAAATGCTTAGCTTCACCGATGCTTTGTGATATGGAATTGGTCAAGATGGGTGATGGTCCCGATGATCACACTCTATGTTGCCATGATCGGTGCAGTTCATCATTCACGAAGCGACAGCAGTCACTAACATCTCAAATAGGTTTGTCTATCACTGTCCTGATCCAGGCGGTGACCAGTGGTTCATATTACAACAACCCCGCCGAGCTTGCCTACCTCTGCGCCGAAGTCGGGCATACTGTGATGTATACCATTCTCGTGACGAATCGCTTGTTCGTCATGCGAGGGCGCATGCAGCAGATTATGGCACAATATGATTCCAGCACATATGGTGCCATCGCTCTCATGGTCATCGAGTCTGCAGCGTTATACTCGGTCTCCGCTATTGTTTTTATAGTTGCCTTTGGTATGCAATCTTACGGTGTTACCACTCTATGCTTCCTATCTATTGGTAAAATCCAGGTAAGCAAACAAACTTGAGTTGCCTCCGCTTCTGACGTTGTCTTTTATGGACTAGGGCATTGCCCAATTGTTCATCATTATTCGTGTTGCACGGGGGCGGGCAGTTACACGCGAGTGGTCGGCTCAAGGCACTGCAATAACTACGTCTATAGCATTTACAGGGGCTGTATCGGACATTACAGAGGGAGCCGACAATGAACAAATGGGCAAGCCAGAGCGAGACGTCCAGTTGTGTGCTGATTCCGAGAAGGCAGCGGAAATTTCAGTGTCTGTAGCGTGAAATTGGTTTGCATAATGACATACGTTTATATGTACACCATCGTAGATAAATGCCTGAATGAATGTCCTCATCTGCGCCGTGGCGGCCAAGGACGGCGTGGGAGTCCTATCATCAGATCGGCATTTTGCAGGATGATGTGGCATCACGGTGACGTATTTAGAGGTGTATATTTACCTTGTCTAACTCCTCGTACACGTGCACCTTATTTACATCTCGCAATTGTCCAGCAATGCAGCATCGTTTTGCTTATCATATTTTTAACGTGAGTAATGTTCCTTTCATGCATTCTGCATGCACTGAGTACTAAGTCTCATCGCAATCGGTAACCTCGCAGATATTCAAAACACCATGCAGACTCGTCTGGGCACATATGCGACAAAGTCTCCGAGAACTTATTCGGTTCTTTGTCCCCCTCTGTGCCGTCGCTTGGCCGTTCATCCTGCACGTGGATAAATCATAACACAAACTTAAACTCGTTTATAATTGCGCAGCCTCGAAATTAACGACGATATTCAAAATCGAACAGGCATTTCAGCGCTTCAGTTAATATTATCTCAGTCCCACCGTGTCAAAATTTTATCACTGTGTGAGTGACATCCTCAACATCGACCTCATGCGTGTGGCCGCCGCTTTTTATGTCTCCCTAACGTAAACTTTATTCTAGGTCCCCCATATAATCTCTGCATTTTCCCCGCCCGTCTCTTGCGACTGTCCACTTGTTGTCTCCACCATTTGTCGGTGGATAGGGCGCAACCTGAGTGCTCGGACATCTATTTCGTCTTAATTCTCCTTCAGTGGACTATTTTGCGGCCATGTCATCCTACACCCCGCAGACGGATCTCTCCGTTGAAAGATTTCGCCTCGATGGAATGATGTTATTGTGTACGTGCTACGGTATGTTCTCGGTCAACACGCGACACCCCGGAAGTTGACTTATGTATTATAATAGGCATATTCTTTCTCCTTACAGTGCAAGCCTGGATGGCTCTTATGCAACGGCCTCGACATGGGGGGAAAATTGCAGATAATCGTCTCGCGCTTCTTTTCTATGTCTTCATCACGTTCGTATTGGGGACGATAAGTTTTCTTATGAACGCAAGGTATACAGAGATGATTTGGATTGATCTTCGTGATGCGCCTGGTGGTCCGCTCGCGCTAATCGAGGACTACATGAATTATCGTATCAACTTTGTAGCGCTTGCCACGTAAGTGTCCTTGTCCGTCCACCTGCAGACCTCTAGTATTGACGCCCCGTCTAGTGGTCACATTCAGGAGTGGTTCATGCAAGTTCTACTTGTGAGCCTAACGGTTCTTCGGATCGTCTGCTTCTAGACTGATGCTTGAAATGCTTAGCTCCACCGATGTTTTGTGATATGGAATTGGTCAAGATGGGTGATGGTCCCGATGATCACGCTCTATGTTGCCATGATCGGTGCAGTCCATCATTCACCAAGCGACACTAATCACTGACATCTTGCGCAGCATTCTCCATCATCGTCCTGGTCGAGGCGGGTAGTGGTGTTGCATTTTACAACATTGTCATGGAGCTTGCCTACCTCTGTGTCGAAGTAGGGCTCACCGTGATTTATACTGTCCTCGTGATAAATCGCTTGTTCGTCATGCGAGGGCGTATGAAGCAGGTCGTAGCCCAGTATGATTCAAGCACATACAATACCATCGCTCTCATGGTCGTCGAGTCCGCAGCGTTATACACTGTCTTCGCTATTGCTTTCATAGTTGCCTTTGCTACGTACTCTAACGGTCTCACCACTCTCTGTTTCCTGTCTATTGGCAAAATACAGGTAAGCAAACAAAATCTGAGTTACCTGTGTCTCTGATGCTAGCTATTTCAGGGCATTGCCCAATTGTTCATCATCATTCGTGTTGCACGGGGGCGGGCAGTTACACACGAGTGGTCGACCCGAACTCCCGCAATACCTACAGTCATGGCATTCTCAAGTACTGTATCCGACTTCACAGGGATGACCGACAATGAACGAATAGGAAATCCAGAGCAGAACGTCGTTCAGTTGTATGCTGATTCAGAGAAGGCGACGGAAGTTACTGTGTCTACAGCGGCATGACAATAGTTAATATTTGATTTATACCTAGTGAATGCAATTATCTTCATTTGCGCTGCGGCCTATCGAACGTCTCTGAAGCAGGGACAGCGTGGGTCAGATACCGGCATTCACTGCGGAAATAAGAAGATGACCAGTTCGCACAGCACGCGACAACCGTTCTCATGATCATACACCTCGAACCTCGAACTACCACAGATATTATATTCCCCTCTATGCCCGCCCCGCTCTTATTGCTTACATGGCGCGCACGCCGGGTAGCTCGAGATATTCACGCATACGTAATATAGACTGCTATAACAGATATGGCGTACTATACTAAGTCAGGCCCGTGTACGGTCACATCCCGACTTGCAGAATAAATATATAGTTATCACTGCCGTCCCTCCGTCCCTCTGGTCAATCTTGGTCATACTTGCCATCCCTTCGTGCAATCCATGTCCAAAATTAGTCCATACATGTGAGAATTGTTAGACCGGCTAGTTCGACTTGAGAATGCTAGGTGGATAGCCGGTAGGTTGCCGGTCAGCAGCCCTTGAATTCAACAAGATCAAACAACCATTATTCACCGAAGGAGTATTGCACAAACGCCAGTACTAGTGCTTGCGACACGTCTCCCCGAGTGTTCATTGTATACAATGGCCTTGAATGAAAACAACTCACTGTCTCGGCTCCTTGAACAATTTCCTGGGTATGGAAAGTTCACCTCACATATCACGAGTGTTACATCATCCTTTGTCCTCCCATTCTTGTACATTACCGACCGCCACAATCCGCGCATCACAGCCTCACTGCTCAATCAGATTTACCGCAACAGTGAAGATTCTTCTCCTACACATTTTGCGCACATAAACGGGACCGCTTGCTTTACAGCGCGGTTGTTGTATGATACCGTACTCAACGCGCTCGCAGGATGGGAAGTGGCCTGGGAGAATGGGTGTCAAAATTGGCCTGGTGAGGATGGGAAAAGATACAACGACAGTATCGATAGCTTTTTACATGGACTCCGGAATCTACGCAATAAATCCTGGCAAGGAACGGCTAAAGGAAACGGTAGAACTGCAGATGAAGAACCGAAGATGGTGCTCCTCGTCGAGAGAGCCGAAAGGCTGAAGGACAACCTCCCGGACCTTATTGTTCCTCTCACACGTCTCGCAGAATTGGTGAGTGGTCTGATCTCATTTTCAGTAAACTGTGTGTCTCACATCCCAAGGGCAAACATTGACTGACAATATGTGCTTACAGTCACAGGTGAAGATAGCGACCATCTTCCTGTCCTCTGCGCGATGGGAGGATATTAAGCCACCTCTTGGCGCATCCCCAGATCCCTACTTCATCGATATCGACCCTCCAAGCAAACAGGGTAAGTATCCAATTATGTGTATTTAATTAGTATGATCTCAGGGTCATTGGCATCTCTCAGATACAGTCGATAGCCTTCTTTTTGAGTTTCGTTCCACGTCCGCAGCTCAGGCACGTACAGGCACGCAGGATAAGACGTATCATCTATCACTGTTGCCGTTGTACGAACAATATGTGGAACACATCTACAATGTTTGCTCTCTTTACACAACCGATATCCAGGAACTGCAGTATATCGCCGCCGCACGATGGCCTGGGTTTGTTAAGCCTGTGTTACAGGAGCAAAGCGATGCTGATGGAGACGGGGACCCAGACCCAGACGGAACATGTAATGAACTGACACTCCCTGCTTCCGACGGCCGCATGAGACTGCTCAAGTTCTTTACCCCTTCTCTGACGGCGGCACTCGATATGCTCCATCCACGCTTGACCAATGCTACGGACTGGGCGTTAGCCAATGACCCTGACATGCAAGCATCAGAGGAGGCACAATGTCAAACAAACACGGAAGCGAGCATCGTCGTTGACCACCTACCGCGCATGTCCAAATTCATCTTACTCGCAGCGTTCCTTGCTTCGACAAATCCTGCCAAGAGTGACGTGCGAATGTTTGGTCGCGGTGCAGATAAGCAGAAAAGGCGACGTCGAAAATCTGTGTCGCCAAGGAAGGCTGGGGCGCAGACGACTGTTGCAAAGGTACATTCATGTTCATTTCACACTGTATGTAATTTAAAGGCAAACCAAAGGTTTCACAAAGACTACTTGGCCCTGTAGTATTCCCACTGGATAGACTTCTTGCAATTCTTGGCGCTCTCCTGGAGGAGAATGATGTCGAGAACCGGCCTCACGAACCTTGCTTTGAACTTCCAGGGGAGCACACCGACATGGAATTGGGGCGTGTGCACATTTACGCCGCTGTAAGTGCCACGCCTTGTCCCGTGTCAATCCCGTCTGACCCTACATTCCCAAGATCACTGAGCTTACGTCTATGCGTGCCCTACACCGCACGACTGCTTTCGAGAAACTAGAGGGACCGCCTATGTATAAATGTGGGATTTCATTTTGGGTAGCAGGGGCACTCGCCAAGGATTTGCAGGTACCGCTGAACGATCTCATGTGGGACCCGATGTAGTGCTTCGACAGCATGGCTACTGCACATTTATCCGTACATGTCAAAATACGTGCCACAAAGCGTTTACTTTGTGTGGGAGTCAGGGATATCAGCTGATGCGATTTCCAGGGTTGGTGGTGCTGGGGTACTGGCACAAATGTAGGTCCTACATTGTCATCTATGATCTGAGCCATGGACCATGTACTAGTCGACAGTGTATCAACTCGTTTTGGTCGATCATGAGCTGGTGTTTGGCGAGATTGTCAGGGCCATTGATTACATTGAATTCACATGATGATCGGTTCATTGTCCATGTCATTGATCACAACAATATCATTGCTTTTGATTGTGTTGTACCAGCGGCGAGTATCAGAATGTATAGTAAGACTGTGCTACCACCTCAATGATCAGATACCTTGTGACCGCCCGCCCCGACCCGTGCTTTCCATGTGGGAAGACTCAACTAGAATCTGGAGCCGATCACGTAGCTAATACCACCGGTGAAGGTTCGTAGTCACTATGGTGCTCAAATAGTGCTATCAGTGGTTTCCATATTTACACCGCCAGTGCGAAAACTCTCAAGCCTGCATCAAACAAACACTCTCCTCCTACTCCTGTATATCTTTGACGATGCCCACAGAGTTTGTCTCTGAATCCGCGGCATTCCCTTTGCAACTACTCGACTCAAAGTTCAACTCTGCCGACCTCCGAGTCGAGAGTGAGGTTACTGAGGACCAACAGGTTGACTCGGACGACCACGTGCAACCTCTCAGCTCGAGTGAGTTTGCTATGTGACAGCACCTTATAGATCATATTTATGAAGTCGAACGGAGCTCTCAGTTTCTGCATTCACTGTACGTCTGCCTTTCGCGCATTATGCAGTCATCCCCGGGCCTGATGAATTTGAAATGAAACACCTTACACAGGCTCGGAGTTCCATTAATGATAGTGCGGACTTTGACGACCCAAACCTCGACCCTTCACGTAGCACAGAATTTGACGACGAGTCGCCCTATCCAGAGGTCCGATCCGCTGTTGCAAACACAGACGATCCGTCCATACATGTAACAACGCTTCGTACATGGGTTTTAGGTTTGGCCTGGGCAATTATCATGCCTGGCGTGAACCAGTTTTTCTTCTTCCGCTATCCCACCGTGCCCATCACTGGCATAATCGCTCAGCTACTCTCGTTTCCAATAGGCCGCCTCTGTGCTGCTTATCTTCCTCAAAAAAAAATCTTGGGGATTTCACTAAATCCTGGTCCCTTCACTATCAAGGAGCACGTGCTGATAACAGTGGGTCCTCTCTTTAAAACCCTATTGGCCTCTTTTTATCACTATCTACCCATAATAGATCATGGCTTCGGTGGGCGCGACATCTGCTTACGCAGTAAGTTCCTCCCGAAGTATCACAAAGCATGCACTCAAAACACCCAAATTAGACAGACATTATTGCCGTGCAAAGAGTTTACTATAATCAGAAATTCAGTTTCAGTTGTTCGTCTTCCACGCCGCCTTATTAAGATTGAACGCATGCTCATGAACTGTTCCTTATCAGATCAGTGGTTTTTGGTGATGTCAACGCAACTAATTGGCTTCTCCACTGGGGGAATCACACGACGGTTTCTTGTGTCGCCTCCAAGCATGATCTGGCCCGCGACTCTCGTCAGTTGCGCACTCTTTAATACTCTTCACTCCGAGCAGTATGCGGGTATTGGACGATTAGGCGGCTTAAGCCGAGAACGCTTCTTCGTCTACGTTTTCACAAGCGCATTCTTGTGGTGTATGGATTTTCCCCGGCTCCCATTCTTGTCTAATTTTACTTTTTGATGCACCAGACTTCTTCCCTGGTTATCTGTGTGAGGCATATTCCCTATAACGACCTTGTTTTGTTAATATATTTTTTGCACAGTCCAGGCCCTTTCGTGGTTTTCTTGGGTAACATGGATTTCGCCTGACAATGCTGGTGAGTCTCGAGACACCGATCCACGATATGCTCCTTACGCAGAACCCCTAGTTGTTTCACAGCTCTTCGGGTACGTCTTTTTGTTCGCTAAAGAACGATGTACCATGCGCTGAGAAAACTAGCTACGTCCACGGTATGGTAGGTTGATGTTTACTTGGCCCCTATCGTGAGTTTAGAATTTTGAATCAGGGAATGTCCGTGGTAACATTTGACTGGGCCCAAATTGCGTAAGCACTTGGTCATTCCAACTTTATTGTCGTTCTAAGCTTGGTTGTCCAGATACATTGGGTCACCACTAGCCATGCCTTGTGAGCCTCCTGGTATCTCTTCGATGTTCAGTCTAATTCCGGTCAACATTAGGGTGGGCAACGGCGAACGTTATTATTGGCTTCGTAATTTTTTATTGTGAGTCCGAGGTATTTGTTTAAACTTAGTATTGAACCATTATCCTAGGGATTGTAACACCTATATTATATGTCAGTGATCCACAAAGATTTCACGACTGACGAACTGACTCCTTCGCAGTTTACAAATACCTGGTATTCTCTATACATGCCGTTCGTCTAATCACTGTCTCTCCCTACATGACGTCACTCAATCCTTGCTAGTATTTCGTCAAGGACCTCCTTCGATAACACACAGAACACATACAATGTCTCCCGGATATTGACTTCAGAAAGCACTTTTAACGTGACAGCATATGAGGAGTACAGTCCGATATTTATTCCGTAAGTGATCACGCTCTCAGTTCCAGTGTTATATTCACGTCGATAACAGAGCAGCATTCGTGATGTCTTATGGGTAAGTTCACTAATTGGCGATCGATCTTGGCTTCTGTTGAGAAAACCTCTTTTCATTAGTCTCTCGTTTGCTTCCATCACTGGTAAGGAAGTATGCACTATAGCTATGACAGAAATTGACAGAAATGTCTTAGCGACTATCGTCCATTGCTATATTCATTTTCGGAAGCAAATTTGGTATCAAGCGCGACGGTCACTCGAGGAACAGGCAGACATTCATGCTCGCCTTATGAGTCGATACCCACAAGTTCCCGAATGGTATGTCCAAAAATTCTTCTCCCACAGGGATTCTAACTTAATACAATTCCCCACTCCAGGTGGTACTTGTCCTTATTCGCTCTCATGTTTGCATTGGGTGTCGTCAGCATCGAGATTTGGCCTACAGAGATGCCGGTTTGGGCTTTTGTCATAGCGCTCTTAATCGGTGAGTCGTCACGATATCTGTGTGAAAGTGTTATTATAAGAACGTCCATATACCCTCTAGCATTTACCTATGTGATTCCATGCGGTATGATACAGGCAATCACCAATCAGCAAATTGGGTTGAAGTGCGTCATATGATATAGATGGAATCTTTCATAACTCAGACATATCCTAGCGTCATCACAGAGCTGATCATCGGGTAAGTCTACGCTGGCTCATGGCATCAATCTATCTGACCGCTTGCTATCAAGATATTCGCTACCTGGCAAACCGGTAGCAATGATGCTGTTCAAGACCTACGGCTATATTGTGCGTCGCGCATCCTCCAGTCTTTTGGTGTATTGACTCTCGTAGACTATGTATCAAGCCTTGACATTTACGTCCGACTTCAAACTTGGTCACTACATGAAAATCCCTCCTCGAAAAATGTTCTGGTGCCAGATTGTGGCTGCGATAGTTGCTGGAACCACGCAAATGGGCGTTCAATCGTGGATGTTCTCTACCATACCGTAAGCGTCAATGTTGGTGACTGCTTGATGAGGCTGAGTTTCTTGTAGAGACATATGTAGTAGTACTCAAAAAGACGGGTATGTTCGAATGTTCAGTATGGCATCTATACTCAACATCGTGTAGTTTCACCTGTCCTAACACGGAGGTATTTGGCACTGCGTCCATCTTCTGGGGTGCGTTCATTAGATCGGTGCTTCGGGGGAAGGAAGAATTTACTCTGACGAACAGGTGTAATCGGCCCACAACGTTTGTTTAGTTCCGGGCAATTATATCAGTAAGTCGCCACGCTACCCTTAATCTCATTGGAACTGAATGTCCTCTTGCAGTTGTATGTCCCCATTGCCAGCTTGACAGAAGGAACGCTATAGACACACTTCTAGCCGTGTTAGTATTCTTCATCATCGGAGCAGTGAGCCCTATCATGGGTTGGCTGGCGATGAAGCGGTATCCAAACAGTATCATACGATATATGAAGTGGGTCATTATCTTAATCACAATTGCTGACTAATTAACACTTTGATTAGTTTGTAAGTTCCCTGATATCATTCCTTCGGACAGCATGACGTCGTACACCATAGCCCGCTAATATTTAATGGTACCAACAAGATTCCCCCAGCTTCTGCGCTCAATTATGTACCGTGGGCGTACGTGCGCAGCGTTTGTCATATGGTGCATTGACTTACTGATATACCGCAGGCTCGTAGGTTTCATCTTCCAGTATGTTATACGAAGGTTTGTTTCCCGTTTGAAAACAACTGTAGCGTCTTCTGATGTAGTTTTACAGGCGTAATTTTGCATGGTGGACGAAATACAATTGTAAGTAGATTCACGACAGCATTCACGCCATATGACGAGTTACGCAGATGTCTTGTCGGCGGCACTGGATGCTGGACTAGCTGTTTCTGTAATCTTCATATTTTTCGTGTAAGTCCACTTGATCACAATCCTAATTGTCATTCACTGAGCTGAACAGATTGCAATATCCGGCAAAATGGGTCGGTGAGTTAAAATTGCTGCAGCTACTGATAAGCGTTCAAACAATTTCACTAGATTGGGGAGAGCTTGCAACATTGGTGGGGCAACACGGTGGGCCCTTCATTGAACTACCAGCTCAAACGACTAATGTGTTCATCATTAAGGTGTTTAACACAACTGCTGATGGTATGGGCACTCCGGTTCGTCAGTTACACGGCTCAGAAACATTCGGGTACGTTGACTTGTCATCTGATCACCTCTGTTTTGTTGACGAGCAAACTCAGCCCCAGCATGGGATCTTGGTAGCCACTGTATCTTCTGTGCTTTAAATGTAGAGTTGTTGTATTGGTATAACATGGACTTGTACTGCGTTCCTGCATAATGACACATCGTTGCAACTATCGCCTTCCGCGTGCGGGTGGTTATGCGAGGGTATTTAATATGAACGTTCATCATTGTCATAAGATGCGTTAATGTAGATCGTCTGCGGCAAGGGACCGCAATGCGGGCACATTCGGGAACATCTAGTCGATCTTCACTTTGCGAACCGCCGCAGAATCATTGGGCACGCCACCGATGCGGTTTCCAACCTTGACTTTCTGCCCAGCTTTGAGCGTGAACTCGAACGTCTTTGGGGCTTCGAAAACCAACACGATGGTGCTTCCCAAGCAGAATCCGCCCATCTCTTCACCAGCGGTCAACGGCTGACCGTTGAGGATAGGAGACGCTGCTGAGTAGACGGCCTCGTTATAAGTTCCGGGAGGAGGGGGGTCTGCCTCGGACGTTCGTACGAAGAGCCTGTAAGTGTGACATCAGCATGAACTACACTTCTATACCAATGGGATAATACACACGGTATCAAAGTTTATCTTGATGCTGCCTACGTTAGTGGCACCAACGGGGATCATTCCAAAGAAACCAAATTTCCACCGACCGAGAAGGGCGACTCTTTCATTTAGGACGAAGAGGTTTTGCAGCCGCTTTGCCATCCACGGAGAAACGGAGAAGAGTTCACCTTGAAGCCACATGCCATCAGAAGTACGCGAAGCATGTACATGAGGACTTACCAACGAAGTGGCGCCGTTTCTCCACTACCCAAGCAGTGGGACTGTGGAACCGGTGATAATCACCCGGAGCGAGGTAGATGACAGTGAAATAAAGTGCATTGCCTTCTTTAACGCTTGTGCCCGAAGTGCTTCTCCTCCGCTCCATCGAAGGTCTGAGGCCCATTTCGCGAGCGACGGAGGCATCATGCGCGATAGTTTCTTGGAGGGACCCTGGATGCTCCACAGACGCATCAATTTGCTCGCCGAATTTCTTCGACACGGAAGATGATTCTGCCTCAGAGGCGGACTGAGTTCTGGGGATTGGAGGTGTCACGGTACCCGGAGTCGAAGGTGTGGATGCACCCAGGAGTTGTCCTAAGCTATACTCGATGCCGTTCACATTAGCAAATTCTTGGTCTGTCACGTGAGACATTTCTCGGTCTGGGAACTCGATTACCGTCGAGGTTGGGCTTTCTGGATCTGAACGATCCACACCGAGGAGAGCATCCAATGAGTAGGTGATTCCCTTGACTTGCTCCACTCGAAGATTCTCGATAGTTCCGAGATGTAAAACGGTGCCGTCGGCAGGGCTGACCTGTAATATAGTTAAGATAGAAGTTCTTCGAATAAAGTTAAACTCTTACGAGGATAGCGTTGTCTATGGGCCTGACACCGGGTTTGAGCTTTCGGTAGAAAAATTGACCAAGGCTGGCAAATTGCGCTAGATCATCAGGGTCAATTTCCTCAAGATTGCAGCCAAAAACGTATGCATAGAGCCGGAAGCCGTAGGGCCGTATCCAAACTGGTAGTTCGAGTGAGTTCATGTAGCCCCAGATGCGCGACATGTTTCGGAGAGGAAGAGCGCCTATTACGTGGACCTGCACGAGACCAGTTTAACAAACGTAGTTCAATAACAAATCAGTGACACGCACATGCCATGGACCTTTGAGCTTAATGATTTCACGACCTTCATCATCAACATGAACCTCATTCTCTGCACGTGCTACTTTCTTGCGGTATTGGATGACGACGAGGAGAATGGCCCCAACGGCCAAGGGGAGCGGATACCATTTTGTTGGAGTTTTCGTCCACGCCAACATAATACGTCCTACATTCAGCAAGGTCAGATATGCATATGCTCTCTTATCCACGAAAAGGCATACTGTAGAGCGGAACGCCATGCGAGCTTGGCAATGGTGGTGGTGTAGTCTCTGGAGGTATACTGCTTCTAGTTGAAAGCGATCGTCTCAATGCACCCTGCTTGAGTGTGCGTACAGTTCCTGATAAACTGATTCTACGCTTCACAAAGACGCGTGAAAAAAGGGCAGAAGAGCTGTTCGCAGTAGACGTGATAGCATGAGACGCCGCCTGAAGGGGTCTCTTCCCCTTCACGATGGCTTTATAGAACATTGCAGGTGGTGGATGCCGTTCACAGTTCGCGTTTGAGAAGTAACTCTTCCAGTGCAGGTTGCTACGAGTACTTGAAAACTTTTCGAACGGGCACCAAGGGCCACACGACTTCCTTCGGCAACAGCACATATAAGGCAAAAGCTTTGGATTCTAACAACGCCAAACAAATGGTGTTAAGCGATCATTTACTTTGACGTGACCTTGGCAAAATTTTAGCCAACGGGACCATATCTTCAGCGCTTACGCCAGAAATATAGATTAAATATTAACTGTTGGCTCACAAGTAGCCAACCCCATTTTATGCACACAACAAAATGTTTTAACGGCTTCTAGCTTATTCAAATTGCCAACGTGGACCAGTGGCATTAACCGAGCGTATGGCAACGCCCACCCTGTGTCACACCCCAGCTGTATCATATGGCACGGTGAGCTACTCGCACAGTTTGAGGAACAACAAATCAGGCTTCATGCGGTACGCCTGCTCGATGTCCCCTCTCAGGGCTGTTCGGATCTACGGGATGATAATTGTATCTTCACTCCACATCAATCAGGGCTGTGCAACTTGAAACTGATGCCCTCTCAGGCTCAGCACCGCACCAACTCCACAATGCTGATCGATTCATCGAAGATTCTGTACTCATCATTGTTGGTAACCTTACTATGATACGAAAGCCCAAGGCGGAGAAAGAAGGTGCGCACGAAGCGATAGATGGCCTGAGGATGAGGAGCAGGGATAGTAGACATTGAGATACGTGCTCGCCCACAGGTTATCTGTTTGCTTTGTGTGGATTTGGCACGCCGAATCAATCTGCCTTCTATCTTTTACGGTATTCAAATATTCAAGTTTTCTATTACTAGGTGCCTGTACATGTGCAAATGTCTCACGACTAATATTTACATTGAGCCCCTGGATTGATTTTACCTAGTTTGATCAATCAAGGCAGCAACGGACATCATCCCTCGATCTCATTTCAGTGATTCAAGCACTGGATGGTGGTATATATGCCATCGCCATACATCTACCAAATTCACCTCTCCGAGACCCACATCCCCATTTTCTACCAATATGACTATAGTCTCAGATGATCCCGCTTGGTGGCCGACCATCGATGCATATCGTTTTTCCAGCTATTTTGTAGGTTCGTGGAGAGCAGTCAGATGTTGAGGCTGGTGTCTCAATCTAACCTTGGCTGTTTCGCAGTTGCCGCCTCTGTTGGAATTGCGTATGATTGGGGTGAGCATGATAGATTAAAGAACTGCTGACGTCCTACAAGCATTTTCAGCACTTACTTTGGGACAAGAGGTATGTCAGTGCTATAACTAGAGCAGTCAGCTTGCTAAGAATGGTTCATAGATTGAATTCGTCTGGGTGAGTAGAGTCCTAGCATGTCAGAAGAACACATGAAAATACACTTAATTCCAGAGGCAACACTGGTCCTTAATGACAGTTCTGTATCTCAGTGTATGTAGCTTCACTTGCCTGTCACGGTTGTCATGTTGTACTAACTTGAAAACATCCTAGGTGCGCTATATTGGAATCTTATATGCTGTGTATGTTCGGAAGGTTGAACAATTGAGGTTGTGCTAATCGTCCATCTCTTATAATCAGCCTGTACATGCTGAGTATGTCTTCTTAGTACATTCGCTATCTTTGTTTCTTCTAACTAACGGCATACAGTCAGTGTTCCGACCATCTCGCTGACAGATACGGTGAGTCTTCTGCCCACATGCCTACTACTCCCCTCCAATTAACTGTGGTGCCCTGTAGGAGTGGGTGTGGTCCTTACTAAATTCTTGGTTCACTAATGATTGCCACGCTATACTGCCACAGATGTGAGTCTGTTGGAGTGTGTGCTACCCGAGGCTGATCACTAACGGCATTCGTCAGGCCGGATTGTGTATCTCGTATGGAGTTGGACGGGTATGTTGGTATATACAATGCTGTGGGGTGAGCTTGGCACTCGTGAGACCTCAGTGATATTGACTTGACTGAAACATGCTGCTAGTCATCATGATCACTCGGTTGTATGCCATGTATCAACGATCCAGAAAGATCCTGATATTTCTCATTGTCACCGCCGTGGCTATCGAAATTTTCAATGGAGTGGGAGCCATAATGATGACGACTAGTGCTTCAGGGGGTACGCTTAATTGTGCATGATAAAAATGTACATGGGGCTCATTGACGAATACAAGAGCAACTCATACTTTCCGGCACCTATCAGTGCTCGGTTGGCTACACGGAAGATATAGCACTTCTGGGTTCCATTGGTTGGATACTCTCTACTGTGTGGGAGGTCCTCACATTGTGTCTCGCAGCTTGGATTGCTGTCAAACACTTCCGTGGACTCCGACAACATTCGACAGGAGGGATTATGCGGGACTGTTTCACGGTGTTGATCAAAACTCATGTGCTTTACTTTGCGAGGTGAGCTCATATTATGAACATGGTTCCCGTTTTCGCTAAAGAATTGGACATGCCAGCTCTGTTGCTATCTCTTGCTTCCAGCTTATTGTGCTTTCTCCGACATTCGCGACAGTATGTCAATTTTTCACTGACCTCTCCATGCCACCACGATTCATCTTTTATATAGGACGAATTTTCCCCGGAAATTCTGGTTTATTATGGCTTCCTTCAGATTTTCACGGTCGTGCAGATGTTTGTGCTAGGGCCACGCCTGATCCTTGGCGTTCGAGAATTTCACGCTAAGCTCGTGGCCGACTCTGATGCAGCAACTGCCATGACCTCAATCGCTTTCCAGGAGCGCGTGCATATATCAACTGGAAATGGTGTATAACACGGGAGATGGTCGGTGGAGCTAACGGTTATCCAATGCTCTGCCGGGAACAGCAGGAGAATTCGTTTTTATTCAGTCTCACTTTCGTCTTGGTATTGATTGAAGTTATGTGGTTTTGCGAAGTAGAGCCTTGTAAAGAAGATATAGGTCTGGGCAATGTTTTCGTCGTACTAGTACTATTTCTTCACGTGCACGTAAGTAGCTACAGGTCCTGACAATGTTTAAATCAATGTCTACTGCCCTCCACCAACCACTAGCTGGTCTTTCTTTTCTCTGTGATGACAATCATGCTTATGATTGCTTAGATAAATGGGCGCGCAATGAGAGCCAACTCATGCAACACTGCTGCATTTCCTTAGCAATCTGTCCTCGGTTCATCTTCTCGCCTCGTTCAACGTTCCATCCTTGTCTTCTCACCTGACTTACGCCAACTAGCTTACAGAAGATTCACTCAAAAGTGATTACAAAGTGCGCGAGGCACGTTCGTGCATCTGTAGCTTAACGATGCGAGGTGTACTTAATGAGTTTTCACGAGGTTGAGGCAAGTCAATGTTTGTGAAGGAGTTTGCCTTCCACTTTTGTTTCACGAGGCGGAAATACGATATCCATACGCATATGAATCTGGTTAGGATTGTTACTGAAACGCTTTTGGGGATACATGTACCTTATTAAGCACTCTCAATGTGATATGAAGACCTTGGATACATATAAAATGTTTCTGCGTCCTTTCTTTAGCTGAGACACAGAAGGAATCCAGACGTCTGAGTATCGCACACCAAATATAAAACGGCGACACCAACACACCCAAGAACGAACACGCAGGCGCCGGCACCAGCGATAACGTCTGCTGCTCGAAACTGCTCTGATCTTGATTTCGTTTGCGTTGCCCTTACTGCACGACGCCAGCCCAAGTGTTGCGGTTGTAGAAAAAATTGAATTCACAAGTCATATATGCTAGAATATGATCGGTAAACCCGGAGCAACCTTAAAGAACATTAACACGATCTCCACCATTTTAACCGATTTCATTGTGCACTAAGGGCAAGGCGAACCTTATGGTTGCTGTGTCGTGAGATGGTATCATCGATGAGGCCGACTGTCAGATCTAGACGAACCGATATCATGTTAGCATCACTGCTGGCACTAGCAACCTACACTTGTACCAAGTGGCAGGCCGAGATCATGTGTTTGGGTCTTGCAACTTGCAACCGACTAAATCCGAATACCGGAAGTAGAACTCAAAGTACAGTCAAGTCCTTTGAACGACTTCATGCTCGCACGACGAACCACGCTCTGGCTCCCTCCAGAGTTCGTACCCTTCGCAGGGCATAACTGCCTGTGTGATTAGGATTAATGTATGTCATACATACATAACAGTGACACGTACGTACCATGCAACCCAACATCAATGATAACAATAGACCGCCATCGCACGATGGCGCTGGGAAAAAGAAGTAACACAAACCACAAGCAACAGTGGACCTTTCTAACGACAGATTTCAAGGAGCGCCACGATGGCCGCAAAAGAGGTGCCTGGGCAGACTCGACCTTGGTTCAACCTATGGCGCACATTGCAGCAAATGAGCGGCATAGGCTGAGCCAAAGTTGCGTGATCGTATCTAGCTCGTGTCGCTGATCATGAAGCTCGCCAGCACACAATCGGTTACATGTATAGTGGTGTTCGGGCTTGTATATCGCTCTGGTGATCGGAGCGAGCTACAAACCCGAACACCACTGCGTAAATGAACTATCCTAAATGCGTTCCCGTGCCTTCAAGAATGCTGATCAAGTCCAAAAGGATTGATCAGCTTCATGAAGACAGGACGAGGACCAGTTGTGCAATCTCCCCCGTGTCAAGTCATCTAGATGCTCTCCTATATTTATGGATCAGCAATTCAGTTGATCCAAATGGCTTCACCACAAATACTGGATCAGTGCACCAAATCCCGTGTGTGTACACATGTGCGATGAGTGGTTTGAGTTCAAATCAATTTAAAAGTCAAGACAACAGACTTAAATACCCACGACGCGTACACAACACCAAATAATCCCAAATCCTCCTCCTCGCATACACTCCTACAAACTCGTCATCGACCACGCAACACGCAAACGCATACCAATCGATGAAAGTCCACATCAAACACTGGAACGCCGTCGCTCAATGGCGCTGGAACACAGGAAACGTAAATCACGATCAAGATGACGAAGGCGACGTCTGTGGGATCTGTCGCGTCCCGTTTGAGGGGTGTTGTCCGTCGTGTAAGATGCCAGGGGATGATTGTCCTTTGAGTGAGTTATAGTTTCGTTCCTTTGTGCGTTTCGTTGTTGGTCGTGAGTCGTGCATCGTGCATTTGTTCCACTCGTCACGTTCCCCTTCCACCTTGCTTTCCTTCAAGAGAATCGCGACAACTAACAATTACCCCCCATCTAACCCCCTATCACTACAGTATGGGGCGAATGCAGCCACGTATTTCACATGCACTGCTTGCTCAAATGGTTAGGAACGACTGCTTCGAAACAGCAGTGTCCTATGGATCGACGTGCTTGGGGTGCGTGATTTATCTTGTATCTATATCATCAAGTCTTGCTGATGCGTTATATCTGCAATCTTTAGTCACTGCTGAGCGAAAAGCGAACGAGTTGGCTGCGAGTTAGATATGATGGCGGTATGAACCGGCTTACCGCGGCGGGCAGATCCGTCTTTGAGTTAGCAGCGGATCAATCTTTGAGGCTGAGCTGCGGGCGGATCAACCTTTGACTTAACAGCTCAAAATTCTTGATTGTGCGAGTCGTAATTGCAATCATGAACGCTGATCCTGATGGTGATCCCGATCCCTCATGTATTCATCCCACATCCTGCCCCTGTGTCGACACGCGGACGCACCGTACACATTTTCATATACGATTCCCGCCCCTAAGCACCACAATATATAGTTTAGATTGATATACGATACTAATACAAGGCGTCAGGGCCATTCCCCATCCCCGTCCCTCCCAGCACACTCCACAGAAACAGAATAAAACCTCTACACTAACGTACACGCGACAAAATACGATACAAAACCAAAAGAAACCAGAACATGAACGAACATTGTTCCATAAATAGCTTGAACTTGAACTCGAACTTGAAACAAATGAAAGAATGAACAAAAAGATTCTAGATGTGCGATGAAGAGTGTGGATATTGCATATCTAGATCATACCATACATGCATACATTTCGTGAGATTGGCTGGCGTCATGTGATCGTGATAGTTTGCGTGTGATTGGGCGTTTTGGGGATTGGGATTCCGTTCTGTTCCTCTCCTCTTCTTTATTTGTATAGATGTAAGGGGAGCAATTACTGCTCGTACCCTCCTGGGCCTTGTAAAGAGGCCATCCAGATCCTTGTTTTATACAACCTGTAGATAAATCGTTAGCAAATGAGCGAGTAAACACATGCACAGCAAGCAAGACATAGACATAGGCACAGCTACAGCGCGAGCAGGAAAAAAGACACACCGGAACAACTCCCGGACAAGCTCCCTAAAATCAATTCGTTTTTCAGCGATAAAGTAGAACGTGAGTTTACGTCGATCCCTGCGATCCATCAGTCCCCCTGTATCCTCTCGTTCAAAACAAAACGTACCACTGATACTCCGCATCAATAACCTCCATAGGAAGTTTCTTCTGCCGAACTTTACTCTGACACAATTGCAGCGCTTTAACTTCATCTTGCATCTTCGTCACTAAATGCCTGTCGCCCCCCCATCAATCAACACTCGCCCCAAAAACCAAAAAGAAAAACGCACTGAGTATCATGAGCCTGGGCCTTCCCATAAATCATCTTCGGATTAATCTCCTTCTTCCCCGTCGCAGCAGCTCCCGCACCAACCCCGCCAGGACTCATCACCTCGCCAGCCTCCCTCTCCCTAACCTCCCTTGAAACGCCTCCACTTCCTTAAGTGTAATGCTATCATTCACAACCTTGCCCAAATCCTTCCCTCTATCCGCTTCAACGATCACCAAATCTCCAACCCTGATATCTTGGCTCAAATCAGTGAGATAGAAGAGATCCGTACGTCCCGCTTTGAATTCGACGATGAAGAGCGGCCAGGAGGCCGGGACGCTGCTTAGAGGGAGTCCTTTCCCTAGGTCACTCAAGGGCGTTTGCTGAGTTTGACTCGCATCGGAGAGGCGTCGTTGGATTTGGTGGTAGTACGGGCCTTGTTGGGGTTGGATGGGGCGGGAGGGTAGTAGGTGAGAGCGGGCCTTGGCGCGCGAACCCAGCACCGTTGTTCTGCGCAGGGAGGTACTGGATACCCTGCCCTGGGATGAACCGCGCCGTAAGCTGCTGCTGAGAATACTGCGCATCCAAAATCTGCTGGTCAAAATGCCCCCGAGGGGGACTTCCGCCCGTAGAAAGCGCGCTGTCGCTTGGAGACCCGAATTGTTGGCGGGATGCAAAGCTCGTGCCGGATGGGATGTTGAGGTGGTAGGGGGATACGCGGTCTGTGGAGGGCGGGCTGCGTGGATAGATGGGGAGGGAGGACGGCTGGCTCGTGGTTGACGAGCTAGACGGCGCACCGGGCTCTTTCATGCTCAAGCACACCGAGATCAGCAGCTAAATCGTCATCTGAAAACATAAGACCGCCCCTGCCTCCAAACGGCTGTGCATTAAACACGCCAACACGAGTATGTCCATGCGTCTCGTCCCCAGGGCTCTCAGGCGCATTAAACCCCACGATAGTAGGCCTACGGGGCTGAACGACACTAACGCTGTGTCTCCGACTAGTAGTCCCACTTCCACCCCCACCATTCTCATCTTTTGGAGGATTCATACCCGCCCATAGTTCTCGGAATGCAGAGCCGTCGTCTAGGAGGATCTGGCCGACATCACGAACAAACGGACTCATATTGGAGACATCGATGGTGTTCCTGTTCGGATAGCCGTTATCGGCGAGCGGGGACCTGCCCATAGCGCCGAGGCTCCCATAACGACTAGACGCGGGTGGTTTGATCTCTCCATACCTAGTACCTGGAATACTGAGAGGGTTTGAGTTGTTATTGTTAGCTGCGTCTGCCCATGGGTTGGAATGATGATATGGGGTTTGAATTAAGGTGGGACGGGTGGTGGTGGTAGCGAGGCTTTGAGAGCGGCTGCGGGTGAGATCGGGAGCATAGGAACGGCCACGGGATGAAGTGGGTAGGTAGCGGTCCTCATCATGATGATCATAGGTATCTGAAAGTACTTCTGATTCGTCGTCTTCGAACGTAGACTCGAAGTGGGATTCGCGGAGTGCAGAGCTGTAGTTTGATTGGGGGTTTGAGAAGGAGGAGCTGCGGGTTGGTACGCTCATTGGGAGACCTGTTGTGGTTGTGGATGTCGTTGTTGTGCGGGTTGGTTGTTGGAGCATGCGTGGTGACCAGGGAGATGAAGATGAAGATGGTGAAGATGAAGGAGAGTTTTGATTGCGTAGACTTGTCAGGTTTGTTCTTGGTGGTTGACTTGTTGCTCGTTCCCGACCAGAATTATTTGGGTCTGGGTCAAGGAACCGATGTCTGCGATTAAAGTCGTGCTCTTCAGGCAGATGTTGCATGACAGCTGGCGGTGGCGAGAACAGCTAGTTAGCGGGTTCCTACGACAGCTGGCGGCACTTTCACTAATTAGTTTCTAACACTTCAAATCCTCCATTTAAACGACATTTTCATGATAATGACTGAAACCCACTCACCCTCTCTAGTATGCTCTAAACACTGTAACTGAAAAAAGAACCAAGTTGAAGTTAAAAGCGAAAGGTTGTTGAGTCTCGGGTTCGCACCATCATGGGTCACGAGCTCGATCACGAACACCATTTTTTTAATTAAAATAATAACATACATACAAACAAAGAAAAACCTTTCGATAAATATTCCCCCGCCACCGCCGAAAGACAAAGGCCCCGTGGGGCGTACGGATCCTTCCGCGGAATCTAGATCATGATCTCGATCGTAGAGGAGGTCATGCGCAAAGTCAAGACTAGGTCAAACCTCGAACACAACATCTACAGCGCTGAACGCCGTGTTACCGGGCCAAACGACCAATGGCACTTCACACTCCACAATCTCAACCTGTACATCCCTCCAATCTCCCTCCTGTTCTTGTTCCTCTTCCCCTTTCTGAGCAGGAACCTCATCATCATCAATATCATCCCCATCATGATACTCCTTCTCCCCAGTCCCAAGGAATGAACTCATGAGGTACGAAGCCCAGCTCTGTTGCTGCTGCGGTTGCTTTCCGACCTCCTTCGCAACGCTCCCAGGTGAAACAGGCACCTCTTGTTGCTCAGGAGCGATCCCCACAGGGGCACGCCACGCACTTCCCCACGCAGTAGGCGCTCCATCCCTCGTTAACCCACGCACCCGTGCGTTCGGCGCTGTTACACCTACCAATAGCGTAAGGTGCACTTTCCACGTTAATCCCCCTGCCTTCCCAGGTACAGATCCGGTACCGGTACCGTTCCCAGACACAGACCCGTTAATATGGCCGTTCCCAAGTAAGGGAAGAGATGAGCACACAATTCCGAATCCAGGACATGCGTCACTGGGTATATCAAGTGCGAATGTGGTGCGAAGGGTGCTGCCTGTGAATGAGGCGTGGTGTTCTGCGTGGATGCGGCGCGTGGTGCTTGTGCTTGTGCTTGTGTTCGTGATTCCTAGAGAGGCTGGGAGGCTTTCGGTTGTTTCTAGCGTTGCGTTTAGCTGTGAGATGTATTAGCAAAAAAATCGAAAATGATAAGCCGATGCAAATTTTGAGAAAGGAACGATGCGGAAAACACAGAATCAAGAACAAACTACTCACCGAAATCACCTTCCCCCGTCCGTCCCGCTCATTAATCTCCACAACGCCCAAAACAGTTTCCCCAAGCCTATACGCGCTCTTCGTGAATGTAAGAACAGCGACTTTGACATCGTCTTTTGTCACGTCGTACGAGGCTGGCGGGGAGTTAGTAGTCTGCAAAGAGATAATAAACGCTGAGACGTGCCTTTTTTGGGATTTCGGGTTAAAATTTCGACAGCTTCTCGACATCCCGTTAGTTCTCCCTCTCCTCCCTCTTTCTCTCTTTCGAATGCCCTGAGAGGATCCAGAACTACCTGACTTCCACTCCCAGAAGCAAGTCCGGAGGAGGAGGAGGAAGGTATGTTCTCAGGCACGCTTTCAGCAGGCTCTTTAATCCTCACGCCCGTCGATCCCTCCGCAGGGAATGTCTCGAGTAGCCTCTCACCGTAGGCGCGGAGGTCGTCAAGGGGGTCACAGGGTGATACAGTCGGTGCTATCCCCAATTCAAAATTCTGTGCTGCGTAAAATATAAGAGGACGTACAAGGTTTCGACGAGGAAGAAGACGAGTCTTTCTTTACATCACCACTCGCGCTGCTTAGATCTGTGATCTTCCCGCCGTCGTGTTTACGCACGGGGAGGAGGAGGTCGTAAGGGCGTTGTGGTTTGCTGACTGTATCAATTGGTTAAAATCGGAGGACCAAGGTTGGGAAGGACAGACTCACCGCTGACCCAGTTATATACCCTGATAGGGACTTTCATTACCCTGCTCACTGTCACGCCGACAGAAGTGGCGGGGCCATCGCTGCTATCGCCTCTCCGGCACGTACCGACTACAAGTTCGTATGAGAAGCGGATCATGCGGCCTCTGAATGTGGGAGGGAGGGTTGAGGGGAGGGGGGAGAGTGTATGTGTCTGTCATGCATCAGCGTGATTATACGAAGAAGAGGTAGGGTACTCACAAGTCCTACTTTCTCCGGGACTCAAGGCCAGATCGACGGCCAGCATGGCAGGTTGTACTTCGAATACAGGGAGTGGCACCTCTTCTTCTTCTCCTTCCACGGAATTAGCTGCTCCGACACTCAGACCCAAACCCAAACCAACGCCTGTACTAGACGCATCGCTTTGCGAAGTGAGAGAAGGGGCTCTCGATCTCCCGACTGAAGGACTGTAACTGGAAGGACTTAATAAGCTCAATAGGGAACCTGTAAGACTGGTAGAACAGTGAATGGGGCCTGCGGGTACGAGCGATATCCATACTTCCCCCTCCCAAGACGGGCCTTTTGAGGAGATGTGCGCGGAGGTTGGATAGGGCTGCTGGTGTAGCTTGTGGGAGGATGTGTGCTGTTCCTGAGAGTTGGGCGTATGAGTAAAGGAGGAGTGTTGTGTTTGGGGGGAGGGGTTTGGTGGTGTTAGAATGAGGGACTGGGATGGGTGGGTGACCATGACCAAGTGCCTGGTGTGGTTGTTTGCGAGGGGGGTATGAATGGGTGAGGGGAGCGGGTGTTTCTGCGATTGGGTCTAGTGTGGATGTAGATGTGTTCAAGGGGGGCTGTACTTCGTTTAACTGGAGGTGGCCGTCGAATACTGATTGTTTGCGTGCGTGCGGGTGGTTCTGGGGTATGGGGAAGGTCGTGCGTGGTGTTACTGCGATCACTTAGAACGAGTCAAATGGACGAGGATAAAGGACTCACCTGAATCTACTTCATAAGCTTGTACATACTCTTCACTAGCAGAAATATCCACGCTAGCACTGCGCTTGGCCTTTTCCAATGCACTACGGCTGGCTTCAAGCACTTCCTTGCCTTTCCCCTTCCCATCCACTGCTCCAATCAATCCCTTCCTCCCCTCTTCGCCAATGCCAATACCAAGCGCTCTAACAAAATCTGGTGGACGTGGGCTCAAGCCAGGAGACGTAGGAGGCCTAGCAAGCGGGGCAGAGCTTATAGAATGTGCATTTCGTTTGTGTGATTTCTGAACTGGCGCAGGTGCTGACACTGCTGAGATGGGTGATGTGTTGTTTGAGCGGGTATTGGTGAATGTGATTGCAACGGTGAATGGTTCGCCTGCGAAGTATGCGCTTTGGGTTGGGGATACTTTGACTTTGATAGAGGGATCTGTGTCTGTTGAGTCCATGGTTGAGCTTTAGGTATGATGTCGTCGATCCGAGCTTTAAATGATGATATGAACGAGGGAAAGAAAACACCTTCCACCCTTAAATATAACACAAGCTTCCACACATATGAGAACTCATCCCAGGCGAGGTTACGCCGACTCATGCCATGTCTACGCTGTGCTATGACCTACCACGTGTTACTCGGGTTATACCCACAGAGTCTTGATATCTCCCACTTCCTCGTATCTAGACTCACTGCATCTCACTGCTCAGTTTCAAAAGTTTCCTAGCACCTTGACGACTATCATGGCCTGCGCGTCAAGTACACGTTTGAGCGCGTTAATATTATTATTGTTCCAGTTTTGATTTCAACTGGTGCACGTGAATCTCAGATTCTATTAGAGTTTCGGTTGTTTGGGAGTGTTTGGCTGGCGTTTGGACGTTGACGTTGATCGATTGGGTTCACCTGTGACCTTGGCAGGGTTATGTTTTACCTTTTGCCTCCTTTTTGCCTCGCCCGCCGCTCTTCATGAATGGACGACGACGTGCGTGTGTTCCGTCATGTCTATCCCATGTTATGTCAGTTTATCAGATGAATTTTACCTTGCCAAGGGTAAATCTCCCACTCTCTACCGTGCTTTGTGTGAGGCTTACCCTTTTGATATGCATGCTAACCACGGCGGTGAGCGATATACAGTACTGCTCCTGCCATCAGGAAACACCACTCAATTACCTGTGAGTACCACTGTTAGCGTTGTCGATTTTTTCTCAACCTGCTCAGACTACACAGCTTTTATTCGAAATTTTAAAAAAATATCCACCCCCTCCCTCGGAGGAGCATTTACTTACATCACTAGCAGCGACGTCATGTGTATTACCATCTTCCTCGTCGTTCGAGACATCTGATGCCCTGGTTTCTTGTACAACCTAATCTGCTACTAGCCTAGTCCACTAAGCCGGCAATTGGACAACGACACGACGCTGAGTCGCTTGTTTCAGACACCAATATCAATCCCAAACAGAAGCCCAATTGATCCATCGACGTTTAGATCGAGCTGGGCTGGAGCACTCCGGGTGTGGAGGGTGCCGGAGGGTCCGTCGCCTTCGGGCACACTCGAGCGTCAGCTCGAAGTCTTGCAGAACAGAGGGCACCTTGACGAGTATTAGGGGGCATGGCGTTTCAAACACCGCCCTGGTACATACCTGACTTTGAATTGAGGTGCATCGAGGCTGAGTTTGTTGAAGCTTTAGCCGGGAGTTTGAGGCGTGTTGTTTACATAAGCGAGTTTTCCAAAGTTTCAAATTTTAGTACCACCAGTACTAATGCGATCTGATCTAGAGAGCCTGGAACACACGAATACGCGACGATGTTGGACTTTTGCACCTTCAATCACTGAAGATGGCGGAGTCGTCTGTCTTTTGTATCTGCCCAATTGACAAGAGTGCATCGTGGACACGCTGGAGGAAGCGGGTGATCGGTGGGTGCGACGAGGAGAAGAGTGTGAATTAAGATTAGTTGATGCATGGAACCTCGCTGGTGATACTCGTGAGTAAAGATGAACTTGACGCATAAACCTTAGACAACACTGAGGGCTTGATCTTGGTACCTAATCAGAACCCGTGGAGTACTACAAGTCAATTGGACGATTAGATTCTTCCCCTCTATACCCAATATGATTCAACAGTTGCAACGCCTCGAGGCTTGTACTAATAATGGCATATTATTTTATATAAATGGTGTAGGCCCTAGGGCTCTTCTCATTATCTTGCTTCCCTTCAACTGCTATTCACAATGAGAAAAGGCAACTCATCGACTCGGAGGGATTCGACTCACACAACTAGCGAAGTAACAGCTCGTGGAAGCTCGGTACGTGAGAAACACTCAGTCCACTTCATTCCAAACACTGACACATCCTTCGTCTAGCACCGGCCCCGTGGAAGACTCGGTCGGCTTCTGAAGAAGATAAAGGACGGTGCAAAGAAGTTAAGGATCTCGGTGAGTTCACGAGCATGTATAATGAGTGTCCTGGAATACGACTGAGATTGCCATAAGCGCTCGAATGATTCCCGCACCCACAGCCCCGTTCCCCCGAATGTCAATAATGAACGTGCTCCATCGACCTCGAATCTCGAGGTACGTTCTCATACTTGTTCTCTAGTCTCTATGCTCTCTCTAAATTATGGTGGTCGCGCAGGACCAGTCGGCTCCGTCTGGTGTGGAAGTGGAGGCTGATACTACCCAATCAGCACTTCGGGATGCACGACAGGCTGCAAAACGCATACATCCACTTTCTGGAGCTGTGAAATCCGTGGTTTCTATTGTTCAAGACACCCCAGAAGATCTCGATGTTGCTGACGGCTTCCAAGACACATATCTCAAACCCCTCAGGATATTCGACACTGTTATCGAAAAGATCGCAGATGTATGCAAGCCCTCCTCTCGGTCAGAACCGAACTAATTTAGTTCCACAGCTACATCCATATGCAAAGATGGCGCTGGGCGTGTTGTCTTTTGCAGCCAAAGTATGTTTTCTCTTTATCTCTTCCTATCTCCCACCGCTCAGCGATTATTTGGATAGATTATTCTAGCTCAAGCAGATCGCGACGCAGCGTTACTCAAACTTCTCGAGAAGTTATCTGAAATTTACGACTTCATGACACAAGACGAGAAGCTTAACCAAATTTTGTCGATGCACGCTATCCTTGGAAAGATTTCTCAGCAGACTCGTGAATGTGCTCAATTTATCACGAATTATCCGGAGATCAGCAACTTTTGTGAGTGTCATAAGCTGTCGCGCTCTGTACCGTCTCGAGCTTCTACCATGATCACAGGGAAGAGACTCGGAAAGGAAGTTATCTCAGAAACGGACGATACAATCAAAAAGTACAATGATGTGTTCGACGGGCTCATGCAAAACTTCCGAGACCAGGTTACTCGCGACGTGGCTATAGGTGTCCACGACATGGCCATACACGTCCATCGTATGGGTAAGGGTTCGGACGTCCTTGTGACTTCACATACATTCATACCTTTTCAGAAGAAACACTGGACCTCAGCGGTATGACTTATGCAGATCGCGCGGGACTAGATACCACAAAAGAATGCCTTCAAGGGACGCGCAGAGAAATCCTTTCCCAGATCACGGAATGGGTCAACAGCACTGAGGACAACGATCCACGCGTGCTGTGGCTATCTGGCCCTGCAGGCAAGGGCAAATCGGCCATCGCCCACACCATTTCTAAGTGGTTCAAAGACGTGGGAGGGCTTGGTTCGTGTTACTGTTTTAACCGAGGAGTAGAAGGTCGCAATGAAAAGATCTTTTCCACGATTGCGCGCGACCTGGCTGACCGTGATCCGAAGATGAGGCGGGCATTGGCAGATGCAGTTAAGACCGCGAATTCGCTCAAGAATACTGCGGATATCATCCAGCAGTGGCAGAACCTTCTTGTCGAACCACTGGAGAAGTCATCCGGGTCAATTATGGGACCCATCGTGATCGTGATCGACGCACTGGACGAGAGCGGCGGAGTAAAGACACGAATGGACCTCCTCCGTATTCTAGCTGGCAAACATCCAAACCCTGACGCTCGAAAAATCACAGACCTTCCTGGAAACTTCCGCTTCATCGTAACCTCTCGCCCACTTGATGACATCAATGATGAATTTCACGGTGTTCAGCATATTCGACAGATGTCGATGGATGACATTCCGCCAGCATTCGCAGAGCGCGACATCCATGCTTACGTATCCAAGGAGTTGGAGCGGCTGAATTTCCAGGATAGAGAGTTCGCAGTCCTCGCTGAGAAAGCTGATGGACTTTTCGAGTGGGCGCGTCTCGCCTGCGGATACATTAAAGAATCCCATGGGGGACTATCTCCAAGGGATTACTACGATGCTGTGGTGTCACGCAATCCTGCTGAGAGAAGCAAGCTGTTGCACAACATGTATGACCTCGTTTTGACAAATATCATACCCAGGGATACATTTCCGGATTCGCCGACACTGCGTTTGAAGAAGCTAGCGAGATTTCGCTCAGTGATGGGACAAATACTAGGCACAACTGAACCCCTTCCTTTAGCTTCTCTGAAAGTTATGAGGTCCCGTTTTCCAAAGGAAGAGGACCATTTCGACATGGAGCTTTTGGTAAAAAGCATGGGCTCCCTCCTCAGCGGCACCACCAACCCTGATTCTCCAATCCGACCCCTTCACGCATCCTTCCATGATTTCTTGACTGACAAAGAATCCAGTAGAGAATTTTTCATCGATCTGTCAAAGCCGCAACGCGACCTTGCATTCGCGTCACTTCAAGTGATGGAACACGGTCTTCGCTTCAACATCTGTGCTTTAAAGTCGTCGTATCTACCCAATAGCGAAGATCCCGGTCTACAACAGCGAGTCCAAAAATGCATCCCCCCACATCTGTCATATTCATCTCGATTTTGGACGTCGCACGTACTAAACACAGCCTTCGACAAGGAACTCGCGAAAGAAGTGGCACTGTTATTCAACCACGAGCGGGTGTTTTTCTGGCTGGAGTCACTCGCCCTGACCAATGCGCTCAGCGGTGCAGTTGGTGCCCTTCCGCCCATTGCCCAGTGGCTGAAGGTGAGCACATTGCTACTAGGTGTCAGATAAAGCGCTCATGCGCAATCACAGGGCCATCCGAAATTCAAAGATGTCTCGTCGACTGCAATGGATGTACAAAGGTTCATTCAAGTCTTCGGGGGCATGATGTTACACAGCACACCACATCTGTATATATCAGCAGTCTCATTCTCGCCTGTCAACTGTCCGCTATCGAGAAAGTTTTCTGCACGGTTTCCGAATACTCTTCGTGTGGCATCTGGACGTGATATAAACTGGCCGGCTGTTCAGACCGTGCTCAGGGGGCACACTGGTAGAGTTTGGTCGGTCTCGTTCTCGCCGGACGGCACTCGCATCGTCACTGGTTCTTTTGATAACACTGTTCGGCTGTGGGATGCAGGGACGGGGGAGCCAGTTGGTGAGCCCTTGCGGGGGCACACTTCTTCAGTTAACTCGGTCTCGTTCTCGCCGGACGGCACTCGCATTGTCACTGGTTCGCAGGATACCACTGTTCGGCTATGGGATGCAGGGACGGGGG